GGAAATACAAAAAATAAATAAATAAATAAAATAAAATATATACATGTACAACAAAATAGAGAAAAAACTCAATAAAAACATCTAATTAAACATTAAAGAATTATTAAGGAAAAGGATGAATGCCGAACTCCTCAATTAAACCTTTTGGAGACAATGTATCTGTGAATACAGGGCTTCCAACGAACACAATACAAAGAGAGAAGTGCTTACAGTTTAACTTTAATTCTGGTCCAGAGAATTGTAAAAAATATATAGCTAGCATTTGACAAAGGACAGCTTCCAGAATCTCTCTCAGTTCAGTGCTGGACTCGGTTAAAACTCCCCAAAGAAGGAGCAGCAAAAACCATAATAGATGAAGCTGTGGATTGTGAGCCACAACCTGTAAGTATTTTTAATTGTTCAAATTGATCTAATAATTAGCCAATTAGTTACCATATTTAGCCCTAACGGTATGTTGTAGCAAAAACATAATCATCAAGGATGTAAACAAGAGGAAATGCAGTTTGGCACCCTTAACAATTTAGCTACAAATTCATATTTATTAATCAAACCGCTGTAAACAGCCACAATCTTCACCAGAGCTGCAGTGTCTCTCTATGCAGACGCTTTCCCTGCGTTCTACATCTCAAATAACAAACTCGCAAAAGACGTTTCATATTACTTACACATGCTTTTTCTGAATACATATGAAAGACACTTGCCAGATGGTATTTTAGAGAGCAGGAGTGAGGTTCAGCTGTGTCCTCTGTGTCATTTTCTCTTTGATTCAGGCTCAAACTCATATGGCTAACAGCTACTCTGACTGACAATAATCACACAGCACAAAAAGCATGTGCTATAAGAGGCATGACGCTTTTCCTGGTGATGTGGAGCTTATTTGGAAATCACAGCACATTATGTTAACTGACCAATCAGAGCCTCTTGAAGATGGGTCTTTCGGAGGAACTAGGAAATATGACAGTTGTTTTCATGTTAGCTGAGTAGCTGTGTATAATCAAAGTAAGATATATGAAAAATATAATGTAATTTTCTACAAGTAAAGCGTAAGCTCACACTGCTTTGATTCTTATAAACACAACCAAGCCTTAAAATTACACTCTGGTCCACCTCTTTAAAGTCACGGCGCAAAAATTAGTACTATAAATATAGGGAAAAATATGATATAAAAGTTTGATAAAAAGAAAACTATATAATTAAGAGAAGCATTTAAAATATATTAAATTCAGCTGAAATGTTGTAGTTTGTGATTCAGTTTTGAAACACCTCATGTGAAAGTAAATATATTATCCGACTATTCTTGATGTTGGTGACCACACTCTGATCATGAAGAATAAAACTATTTAGCAAAAATAAAATATACAAATCTATTGTCTGTATTTACTGAGAAAGTTATATATTATCCTTTCTTAAACCAAAGGTCACAGTATGCTGATTGTTCCAGTAATTTTTAACCCCTTGCTCACTTTGTTGTTGTTCTAATGCAGTGTGTGCTTCATTCTTTTTTTGCTTGTGGCCATAAATGCATTAAAAATGTGCCCTTTCATAAAATGGCAGTAAATAGCAATGACTATTAAGCTTTTAAAGAAGGATGTAAATGTATGACAGAATTGTTTTATTATGCGATGTAAGAGAGTTTGGAGAGAAACAACCTAATTCAAAAAAACTTATTTGATGAATTTTACCCATTAATTTGTGCATATATTATGTATCTTCACTAATGCTGCAGTTCATTCAGACTCATCCAGGACAAACACTCAATGTGAGAAATCAAGATTAATAGAAATGCTATACAAAAAATTATTATAATATTTTTTCTCTCAGCTAAATATACCTTGTGCTTGTTGCAACAGCCAGTGAAAGAAGTCATCTGTCTTCAGACAAGGGATTTCAAGCCATTTTTCTAGGCTTTGTGATAAATCTTGATTTTGCGAGCGAGTGTGAACCGCAACACTAATAGAGTTTCATGAATGCATGGTCATGCACAAAGACTAACAGTCAAGGTCAGTTTTTGAAATATGTGCAACATGGGACCATTCTTTGATACCTTTGCATCATTTTAAAACTTAAATTTTAAAATTTTGATTAAGCTGGTCACAGTTCATCAGGACAGCTCCTTATTGAAGATGATTTGCAAAATTCATTCATTCATTTTCTTTTTGGCTTAGTCCTTTTATGAATCTGGGATCGCCACAGCAGAATGAACCACCAACTTATCCAGCATGTTTTATCCAGCATATGTTTTACGCTGCAACCCATCACTAGGAAACATCAATATGTACTCATTCACACAAGTACACAACGGGCAATTCAGCCTACCCAATTCACCTACAGCGCATGTTTTTGGACTGTGGTGGAAACTGGAGCACCTGGAGAAAACCCACACGAACACAGGGAGAACATGCAAACTCCATACAGAAATGCCAACTGACCCAGCAGAGGCTCAAACCAGCCACCTTCTTGCTGTGAGGTGATTGTGCTACCCACTGCACCACCTATATAATATGCATTATGATGCTAAATAATGCTATACTCAATATGGGATACAATATTTAAAAATGACCAGCATATGTTTAATATTGTATCGGGTAATTAATAAATTAACAAAAAAACAAAAAACATTTGGAAGAACCGTGGAGTCATTGTTTTGCTGCCCTAACATGGCATAATTGCTTGGTCATAAAATATTTCTGCATTTTCAGCTAAAATCCTTACAGATTTCTGGATAAGAAGACCAGCACGCACACACTGTTTGGTTTCAGAGATGATTGTGTTGACATGATGAAACTACATTGCCAAAAATTATTTCATTAAATCAGAAATGCACATTTGCGAGATTTTGATCATTTTAAAACACTGAGCAGCCCTGCTATTTACAGTCATTTTTTGGACTTTTATTTTTTTTATTTCACTTTTTGTGGTCTGAATGTGTCACTGAAACAATCATCACAATGGTGTCAAATAAATAAATAAAAACAGCATTTTTAATTTAAGTTAAATTACCTCATCAAACGGTAGACCCAAAGAAAGACCACCCCCCACCACAACCACCACCATCACCATCCAAAAAAAACAACTATATATTTTTTCTCTTCAGTTTCATGGAAAGTGTGCACATTTTTTGTGCACAGTGTGAACATTTTTTTTTAAATATCTCTTTTTGAAAGCCACCTTTTTAATAAGCTTCCTTAAACTACGTAACATGATCATCAGTAGCGTCACTACTTGCCACTAGCTTACTACATTTCTCAGTAGTGTCGCTACTTTCTAATTTAAATAGCTTTATAGTAGCGAAGCTATTTTATTAGTCAAATAGCGCAGTAGCGTCCACACAAGCTACATTTACAGATCGCGGATCAATAAGTGACGGCACCGACATTCACGGAGCTGTGAGGCCGGTGTGTAGCCGGTGAAAGTAAATCAATATGATGATTAAAATGAGGAATTCTTCTACTTCCTGTTTTACGGTGTTCGACAACAAACTTTTTGGTGTGTTACTGCCACCTCTGGTAGGCGATGTCGCTAACCGAAACTTGCTTGATGGAAAGATGAAACAGGGAGAGGAGTTAAGATGCAATATAACTTAATTATATATATATATATATATATATATATATATATATATATATATATATATATATATATATATATATATATATTGTGCTTGCCTAACACTGCTAATCATCATGCAAATATATCTATTCGAGTAAAGAGTATGGGTGTAGCCCCAGTGTCCTGACTAAAATTCTCTCTCGGCCCTCAACCATCATGGCCTCCCGATCATCCCCATCCACTGAATTGGCTCTATCACTGTGCCTTCACTCCCCTTATAGCTGATGTGTGGTGAGCGCACTGGTCCTGTGGCTGCTGTCACATCATCCAAGTGGATGCTGCACACTGGTGTTGGTGTGGACAGACCCCCTCTCATGACTGTGAAGTGCTTTGGGTGTATGGCCAAACATGATAAATGTGCTATTTAAATACACATTACATTACAATATTCAAAACCTAAACCATTATTTCATCCTCAACAGCACAACATGAACATATATGTGATTATAAATTGGGAAATTGTCAGCGCCAATAGCCTAGTGGTTAAGTGTGCCAACATACAGCACCATGGTGCTCACGGTGACCCGAGTTTGATTCCCGGCTCGAGGTCCTTTGCCATCCCTACCCCTCTCTCTGCTCCCAATACTTTCCTGTCTGCAACATCTACTGTCCTTTCCAAATAAAAGTTAAATATATATATATATATATATATATATATATATATATATATATATATATTTTTTTTTTTTTTTTTTTTTTAAATAATAAATAAATTGGGTGATTAATTTGTGTTCCTCTTAAGAAGGAAAGCAAAAAGGTTATGGAATAAATTGACAGAATGTCTCTCTTTAAATGTCATTTAAATAGATGCTGCAATTACAAATATAACAACAGAGCTATAAAGTGTATGCTTGTCATAAAACAAACATTATACATTCCATAAACTATACAAATACATTTAATATGTATTTGTACACTTAAACAGTTATTTGTATGTAAATATATAGTGCATTTATACATTTATTAGCTACATTTATGTCTCTGTATATACATTATACAACTACATGACAACAAATACTCACATAAAGTGCATATTCAGTCTAATTGTATATGCATTTCTATAGAAATTACACAAATACATGAAAACAATTGCTGACATGTACTCATATTGGTCATGTTCAGGCCTTTATAAGGCATTTAGTCCTTCTAATAAGGTTGATTGACCAGTGCCAATATTGTATTTGAACATATAAGCCCCCATTTCCCATTGTGCAGGATCACATATCGCACACGAGGATTGATTTCAGACATGAGCGGCTGGCGTCCCGTTAGCTCTGCTATGATAGAGGCACATCACTGCTGGACCCGTATGGGACGCCAACTAAACTACTTCCAATGCTGACAGCCGCGAGAACGCATGCGACCGAAAACAACACAAGCTGCAGACTTACCTTCAGTGCCAAAAACGAGAACAGCCGTCGCTACTCGTCCATATCCGAAGCGGCGCGACCTACTCGTACGTTAAAGATCGAGGCTCCGGTGAATGACGCGCATGTTTATCGGTGACACTTCACTCCGCACGCCGCCGCTGACGTCAGGCCGAAGCCCCGCCCACTGGCATTCCGCTGCTTCCGGAGCGACACTGCGTTTCCTCTGGTAAAAGGCAAAGCTTGAAGCAGGACGTCTAAAAACACGAATTATTTTTGGTAACGCGTTGGGATTGTTCCATTAATTCAAGTGTTAAATGTAAAAACATATAGACAATTTAAAAAACTAAAGTTATATAGTATATAAGTTGGCTAATATCTAGTAAATATACCACAGTACTTTAATGGTAAGAGCACTATTCTCCACCTCACACATTTTTATTGAGATAAAGTTGGTGAAATATTCGCTCATTCGTTCATTGACAACTTGGGACATGCTCCTTATATAGTTTACCATGGTACTTTCAATATGTGGTCTGAAATCACATGCAAGTATGACTTCAAAACAACATTAGCACTTATTTATTGGACTGTAAACACTGTAAGCCTACTTTGATTGTAAACACTGTAAGCCTACTTTGATAGTCAATGGCTACTAATATGATTTTTCTTTAACATTTCCAAATAATACTTTTTCTGAAATTTTTGTTATAGAAAGAAAGTCTGAATGTGTGAATATGAAACCAACTTATCTAAATAACTTTTTTTTTAGCATGAAATGGTGTATATAATCAGGTGAAATCAGGAAAGTATTCATAGAGCTTCACTTTTTCCACATTTAATACATTCTTATTCCAAAATATATTAAATTAATTTATTTCCTCAAAATTCTGTCAATCTGAAAAAAATGTTTTTTGAAATTGTTGCAAATTTATTACAAATAAAAAACCTGAAAAGTCACTTGTACATTCACATTCACAGCCTTTGCCGTGAAGCTCTTAATTGAGCTCAGGTACTTTAAGGTCCCAGGGTTGACAGTGCATGTCAAAGCACAAACCAAGCATGAAGACAAAGGAATTGTCGGTAGACCTTCGAAGAAATCCTATTGAACACCTCTGGAGAGATCTGAAAAGGGCTGTACATTGTCGTTTCCCATCCAACCTGATAGAGCTTGAGAGGTACTGCAATGAAGAATAGGCAAAAATTCCCAAAGACCGGTGTGCCAAGCTTGTGGCATCATATTCAAAAAGACTTGAGGCTGTAATTGCTGCCAAAGGTGATCAACAAAGTATTGAGCAAAGGCTGTGAATACTTATGAACATGTGATTTTTCAGGTTTTATTTTTAATAAATTTGCAACAATTTAAATAACTCTTTTTTCACATTGTCATAATGGAGTATTGTGTGTAGAATTTTGAGGAAGTAAATGAATTTAATCCATTTTGGAATAAGGCTGTAACATAAAAAAATATGGAAAAGGTAAAGCGCTTTGAATACTTTCCGGATGTACTGTACACTCTCAGAAACAAAGGTACAGGAGCTGTCACTGGGGTAGTACCTTTTCAAAAGATACATATTTGTTCCCAAAGAGTCCACAGGGGTACATCAAAGGTGCTTTTTAAGTACATTTGAGCACTAATATGCACATTTGAGGTACCACTGTAGACTCTTTGGGAACAAATATGTATCTTTTGAAAAGGTACTGGCCCAGTGACAGCTCCTGTACCTTTATTTCTGAGAGTGTATGAACAAATCCTTCTGTAAAATAAAATAGGCTACACTTCAGAATGTGAAGGCAGCATGTATAAAACTATAAAATTCGGTCTATGATATTTGGTCTATGAAATAGACCATATTTTACTGCTACTCTTACTAATGTAATAATACAGTAAAACAAAGAACAACAATAGTAAGAATCATTATTCCTTATATCAGATATATTTATAATAAAATAAATAGTATAGCTATGGAATATGCTAATTATTAGCTTACAACAATAAAAGCATTAAAAACGTTGAATAAAAATAAACATTATTTTTTATGCACTTTTAAATTACAATGTACAATAGAAAGATCCCGTGAACTTGTAACAGCTAAAGGTCATTGTTAGGCAGTTATAAATTCACTGTAAGCCATGGCTTCTTAGGTGTATTGGATTAATATGCATCTGAATAAGTACAGAACATTAAGTAGATTTTTTATCAGCTCCACTGTATTGTGATCTTGGCAGTCATTGGTAGTTCCAGACCAGCTACTGTCAGAACCTGCAAAAAAAAAAAAAAAACACGCACGCACACACACACACACACACACAAAATTTAATTTTGCACAAATAAAAATAAATTTTATAATGCAAATATACATACTAAATTACACAGAAGTAAACCAAAATATCGACACTAAAGTAAAGCTGTTGCCGACCTTGGTATCTAATCTGTATGAGAAGTCAGGAACTTTCTGTCCGTTGGCCCATACGGCAGTAGGTGGAGTCTGGACCCCGAAAACACGCACTTCCCCCAGGACCAAACCATCAAGAGATCCGTTTAATTTGATCGGTTTACTGACCACATATGACTACAGACAGAAATGAAACATAAAATCAAAATATTAAACACAACGTCAAGCCTTCATCTTCTTTTTTATTTTGTCGGGTTTCAGGTGGTGTTCTAAATAGATGAAAGATAAAATCTATAACTGTAAAATATTAATAATATATTCTTTTTTCCTGAAAAAAAAAAACAAATCATATTGTAAAAAAGATTAACATACTTTTTTTTACTTAACCAAAAACAAATAAAGAAAGAAAAAAAAACTAAATATCAGAGATTAAAAAAACTACATAAAATAAATAATAATAAAAATACCAACTAAGAAATGGAAGATACACCAGAAAAAGGTCCCCATTTTTTTCAAAAGTCCATTGTGATCCTCTGACACTGAACAGTAAGTATACAGTAGGAAATGAGTTCATTGATCCAGTGCTTTGTAGCTGGAGAGTGACATGATTCAATTTATTCCCAGCCGTTCCAGACAGAAGTGTGAAGTATTTTTTTTATGATGAGATGCATCTAGTTCAGGGGTGTCCTGATATATATTCCCCAAAAATCTGACAAAACAGGACTACTCCAAAGCATATAGTTGAAGTCAGAATTATTAGCCCCCCTGTTTATTTTCTTCAGTTTCTGTTTAATGAAGAGCAGATTTTTTTTCAACACATTTCTAAACATAATAGTTTGAATAACTCATTTCTAATAACTGATTTATTTTATCTTTGCCATGATGACAGTAAATAATATTTGACTAGATATTTTTCAAGACTCTAGTATCCACCTTAATGTGACATTTAAATGCTTAACTAGGTTAATTAGGGTAACTAGGCACAGGTTAGGGTAATTGGGCAAGTTATTGTTTTAGCGATGGTTTGTTCTGTAGACTATCGAAAAAAAAATTATATAGCTTAAAGGGGCTAATAATTTTGATCTTAAAATGGTTTTTAAAAAGTTAAAAACTGCTTTTATTCTAGCTGAAATAAAACAAATAAGACTTTCTCCAAAAAAAAAAAAAAAAAAAAAAAAAATATATATATATATATATATATATATATATATATATATATATAATCATACATACTGTGAAAATTTCCTTGCTCTGTTAAACATAATTTGGGAAAAATTTAAAAAAGAAAAAAAAGTCAAAGGGGGCTTATAATTCTGATTTCAACTGTATGCAGCTAACTACATTCAGCTGCATTGCACCTTTGGCATTTTGAAGATATATTAGGATTACACATATGAAGTTTTATTTTGGAGTAACATTTATATACTGTTTTAATAACACAGTAAAAATACTAAATATTTTGGTAAGCCTTTGATGACCTGAGTAAATTTGCAGAAAATTAAATTTTTAGGGTGAACTGTCCCTTTAAGTTGACAATCTACTAATAGTCTAACCACTGGTAGTTGAAGTTGTACTTATAATTCACAGAATGTCTATAGCAGACTTTTAAAATAAAGTGTTTCCCAACATGTTTACAAATTTTACACTCAGAAAAATTAAGTTTTGCTATTTGTTCAAACTACTTATATAAAATAAGCTGACACAACACAATTATTGAGTTTTTTTTGAGACGACTTAATTGTTTTATGCTCAATCGACTTCAATTTGTAAAAACTAGTCATTTAACTTCATTCCTTCATGTCCTAACACAAATCGATTGTGTGGAAAGCCTCATTAACACTAAAAGCGTTTCGCAGTGGCAAAAGCAACAAGCAATCGTTCATTTCATCTCCAGATGTAGCTAATCGATTCCAACAGCGACGACAACACAATCAAGAACACGTGGGCAGGCGATCTGTTGCAAAACTGCCCAAATTTTCCTAATTTTGATTAAGGATCTGGCAACACTGAGAGTGACCGTTGGCGATCAGGTTTGGGTGTCGAGCAACGCAAAAAAGTTGAGAATCCTTCAACTTTATGCAAATGAAGAGCGACTATCTTGAGTGACAGCCAATAGGAACACCAGTAGAGCTCACATGATCCTCTCTCAGCTCACTCAGAGGCCGGTTGTATTCGTGCTGTATATACCTACACACCCCTGCGCAGCGTTGCCAGACATACAATATTTATCATATTTGTACGATAATTTCGACCTCTGTATGATCAATAATGTAAAAAATACAATAATGTACGATAATTTCAGAATTTTACGGTATTTCAAATTAATTTCATTGCAATCTTGGGGCTTCTATAACTATTGATCTAGCTGTATTTTTTGTCTACTGTCTGTGAGGAGAACGTGGAGTTAGGGACGATTTCTATCTCATCTTGCATAACATTTTCTCATTCAATCAACGTGGAGAATGGCTCTCTCTCACAAGTTAACGTTCCTGCCCCGCGGTGCTTATAGGTCAGTAGTTTTCAGGTTATATCGTCAGGCCAATCGTTTAAGCAATAAAGTTTTAAAAAGTAGTGCTAAAAAGGATATGAGAAGGGGAGTTTGCCCTTGATGTTCTCGTTTTATTTTCACATTCAAATGCTTCACATAAACATGTTTTTTCCAAAGTTAATCTCATCAAAACAAAGCCACAAAATCGGCTCATTCACTCAGACACTCTGAATGGGCTCGTGCACACCTGAGAGTGTGTTAAAAATTCAGAAGGGTGCACTGCTTTCAAGCCAAGCAGCACTTTGTTGCTGTCCAATTTGTACCACAAAATGAATCCCTATACATCTGGCAACATGCAGGTATCCAATGACAGCGACTCGTAGGTGGAGTTTGAATTTTTTTTTTACGTATTGTGGTCATTTGCACGTTGTGTCAAAGAGCTTTTTGTCTAGATAATATCTTTATACTCTCTGTTTGACTTGTGTACGATAATGTTCCTCCAAATACAATGATTTTGAGGTTCTGGTATCATACTTTGACATTTCCAATTTGGCAACACTGCTGCTGCGTTTGAAGCAGGTCACCACCCAGAGTGAAAGGCCGCTACAAAGTCACTGCTATTCTGAATGAGACAGAAGCCAGAATTTTTTGCAGTCCCCCCAAAAAACTCAAGAATTGTGTTGTTTAGCTTATTTAATATTTTATTTCACCCTGTTTCCTACCTCTTCAGCAAAGAAGAGAAGATATGAATAATCTCCCCGCTCAAAAGTATCCAGACTTTCTCCATCATCCCAAAAAAGTTCTCCTTTGGCCAAATTTCCCACTGACAGTCCCACCGTTAGGGTGAAAGGGTTTTTGCGAGATATTGCAGTGGTCAGAGCAGGAGCCTGAGAAACAAGATAGCAAAAAAGTTCTAACTAAAAATTTGTTTGCTACAGGGTTTTACAGGGTTAGGCAAGAATGAAAATATCAGCTTTTAATTACTCATCCTCATGTTATTCCAATCCATTAAGACCTTCAATCATCTTCAGAACACAATATAAGATATTTTACATGAAATCTGAAAGCTCTCATCCTCCATATGAAGTCCCAAGATGTTCAAAGTCCAAAAAAAGAGGAACCAATCAAAACAACCCCTCTGACTTCAGGGTTTCAACTGTGAAGGCCCATTCACACCAATCATAATAACTAAAAACATGCCAAAAATATATTTGCATTTACACTAATGAACAATAATTCATTCATTCATTTTTTTTTCAGCTTAGTCCCTTTATAAATCAGAGGTCACCACAGCGGAATGAACCGCCAAACTTATCCAACATATGTTTTACGCAGCGGATGCCCTTCCACCCCCTTGTAACCAGCAGATGTCCTCAGTTTGCCACTAGTGCCTCTAACCAGTGAATCCAGGTCATGTAATCAGTAAAATCAAACCGTGAATTTAGCGATTACAGTCAGAGTAGTAACGGAATAAAAAAGACAAATTCTTTTTCACAATGTCTACAAAAGAGGCAACACAAAGACTCAGAAACTAGCACTGTGGATGTGGGTGGTTGGGTACTGAGGGTGCTTTTGATTTTTACTTCCCTGGCTTGCATAACTTCCGTGTATTTTTTAACGACTATTTCCCGGGCTTATAATCAATCGATTTTGCATTTAATGCAGAGGAACACTGAAAACCTGATGTCATCACTGTGTACTGGCGCCCATTTACCACCCAGACATTGCATGTTTACCTCATGGTTGTGACGTTGCTTCAAAATTTCTTGTTTTTTCAGAAGGAATTTGCTCTAAACAACAAAAAAATTAAAAAATTTCGCTCGATAGTGAAATATATGTGTCCGAACAATAATGTCTTAAGCAACATGCCACAGATATATATGATATAAATGTGTTTTAGGGTTTCATGACTCTTTAACATCAAGCATGGTCATACCACCCAAATGTTATCCTCTTTATACTGGCTACCTGCTAAGTTTCATATTGAATTTAAAATATTGCTTCTTACCAATAAAGCTTTAAATAATCTAGCTTCTGTTTATCTAACCAACCTTCTGTATCGCTACAATCAAAACTAGATTGAAGACCTATCTTTTTTAGTAAAGCATACACTCAATGCATCATATAGTAGTACAATTCATGAATGTGCTCCATGCATCTTGTTTAAATACACTATGAACAGCAGCTACGCTAATTATTCTCTTTATTCTCTATTTCCACCTGGGGATACTCATCTCGAAGCCCCCAGAGAGTATGCAGTGCCATAGATGCGATCCAAGGCCTGTGAAGAGTTGATCTCAAGTATTCCATACTCCCAGACCAGGCCGTATCCTGAGCACTGACACTGTTCCAATTCACTATAATCTTCAATGTGAAGCTGCTCTGACATAATCTACATTGTGAAAGCGCTATAGAAATAAAGATGAACTTAACAGAATTGAGTCTACCTCTTTATCAATACAGTTGTGGTCTGATCTCTGGTGTTATTTTACATTCAGAGCAATATTTAGATCTCTTTCTCTATTGTAATTGTTATGTCTAGGGGCGTTTTGTATTTTTTAATAATCCTGATTATGTTGTGTGAATGTGCTTTGTATAGTTATCATCATGCTATGTGTAAATGGCCCCTAATCATATTTAAAGCTCATATTATCAGTGTTGTGGATTTGCACCATGATCTGTCATGGAAGACAAAAGAAGGCGATTATTTGTACAGTCTTTATGGTGAACAAATGTGTTCCAGAAGCTTCTTATAGTTACGGTTGAAGTCACATCAAATGTTTTGACAAAGTATTTGGTTCCTTTTCTGGACTTTGACGTTTTCTTGCTTATGAAGGCTCTCGCATTTCATCTAAAATATCTTAGTTTGTGTTCTGAATTAGGAAGGAAGATCTCGGGGGATTGTAATGACTTGAGGATGAGCAATTATTAACATGTTTCATTTTAGGGTGAACTAACCCTTTAATTTGATTTACAAATATTGTTAGGTCATGTCTGGCCCCTTTACCTGCTGTGGGATGATGCTCCTCTCTCTCACGTGAACGATGATGGTGTCCAACGAAGCAGGAAACACAATGTATTGTCCTTTACTGTAATATGTTTGGCCCTAAAGAATATGACAACACAGAATATTTAATATCAGATGAAGAGTAATCATTTGAATGAAACTGTACTCAAATCACACACTATATGTATGTACACATGTAACAATGTGGAGCACGCTCTCTGAAAAAGGCTAGGAAATGTTTAGCTTCAGTAAACTAAAGGGACAGTTTGACTAAAAATGAAAATCCTTTTATTATTTACTCACCGTCTGCTTGTTACAAATGTTTCATTCTACTGTTGAACACAAATAATATATGTTAAAGAATGTTGGAAACCGGTAACCATTGACTTCTATGGTATTTGTTGTTCCTAATATGGATGTCAATGTTTACTGGTTTCCAACATTCTTTAACATATATTATTTGTGTTTAACAGGAAAACAAATCTCATAAAGTTTTGAAACCAGCTGAGGGTGAGTAAATAGTGACTCATTTATTTTGGGTGAACTATCACTTTTAACACATCATGTATGCATTTATTTGTCATAAAAGTAAATACAGTAATGTTCTAAAATATCATTCATACATCTTCTTTTCGGCTTAGTCCCTTTATTACTCAGGAGTCGCCACAGCGGGATGAACCGCCAACTTATCCAGCATAAGTTTTACGCGGCGGATGCCCTTCCAGGTGCATCCCATCAATGGGAAGCACACATGAACTCTCCCATTCACACACACTCTCATACACTACGATCACACCTGATTGTTATGTTGTTACACATACTGATTGGTTTGCATCAGTCATATTCACTAGATATTGTTTTATATGGTAAATATGCTCTGACTTTCTATGCGCATAAATGTATGATGAAGGTCAGGAGACCGAAACGTACATACACAATACTTTTATGAGCATTGACAGTATGCAGAATTATTGGTTCACTTAAAATGAAAAAGTCGGAGAAAACAGCTCTTTTAAATTGTAATGATATTTCATGCCAAGCTTATTCTGCTGGTATATAATATATGAGTAAGGATTACATTGTGCAGACTGTACCAAGTCCCCGGGGGGAGATACGCCATCACCTCCACTGCTCCCTGCTCCAGAACTGGACTGATGAGCAGTGAACTCCCCCACAGGAACTGTCTGTCAATGCTCCTGCAATCTGGATCAGTGGGGAACCTGAAAGAAATGAGCAAATGTCAGTAAAGAGATCACCGCTAGAATCAGATAAAGAGATATTGAACTGCATTTACTGAAGGAAGAGAGGGCGGGCCACGGTGCTGGCGGAGGTGTGCGCGTGATGGAAGAGTGTGTAGAGGAAGGGCAGGAGAGAATATCGAAGATTAATCACCATCCTCATGGCATCCTGGGCTCGCTGACTAAATACATATGGCTCCTGAGGCTGGAAGTATGAAATATGGCATGAATATGCGATGTGTTACTGATAATGTGGAGTATTTTTAATAATTAAAGTTGAAGATACAATTACAAGTCCCCCTGTTGAATTTTAATTATTCTATTAAATATTTCCCCTGTGATGTTTAACAGAGGAAAGAATTTTTTTACAGTAATGCAATACAGTTTTACAGAATTTCTAATGATATTTTTTCTTCTAGAGAAAGCCTTATTGCTTTTAGTTAGGCTTAAAAAAGCAGCTTTTCATTTTTTTAAATTCTCTTATATCCTGTGCAGAAGTATTCACAGCCTTTGCCATGAAGCTCTAAATTGAGCTCACTCAGGTACATTCAGCTGATTGGACATGATTTGAAAAGCCATACACCTGTCTATATAAGGTCCCAGGGTTGACAGTGCATGTCAAAACACAAACCAAGCATGAAGACAAAAGAACTGTCTGTAGACCTCCGAGACAGGATTGTCTTGAGGCACAAGGCTGGGGAAGGTTACAAAAAAATTTCTGCTGCTCTGAAAGTTCCAATGAGCACAGTGGCCTACAGTGCTCTTGACCTCAGACTGAGGCGACGGTTCATCTTCCAGCAGGACAGTGACCCAAAGTACACCACCAAAATATCAATGGAGTGGCTTCACAACAACTCTGTGAATGTCACTGAGTGGCCCAGCCAGAGCCCAGACCTAAATCCTATTGAACAACTCTGGAGATATCTGAAAATGGCTGTACACCGTTGCTTCCCCTCCAACCTAATAGAGCTTGAGAGGTACTGCAAAGAGGAATGGGCAAAAAGTCACAAAGACAGGTGTTCCAAGCTTGTGGCATCATATTTAAAGACTTCAGGCTGTAATTGCTGCTAAAGGTGCATCAACAAAGTATTGAGCAAAGGCTGTGAATACTTCTGTACACGTGATTTTTCATTATTTATTTATTTTTTTTAAATAAATTTGCAACAATTTCAAAAAATCTTTTTTCACACTTTATGGGGTATTGTGTGTAGAATTTTGAGGAAATAAATGAATTTAATCCATTTTGGAATAAGGCTGTAATATTAAAAAATGTGGAAAAAGTGAATCAATACTTTCCAGATGCACTGTAACTAGCAAAAACATTATGCGCTATTATCATGACAAATACAAAAAAAAAACAAGTTACAAATGAATTACTAAAACTATTAAGTTTAAAAATATGTTGAAAACAGTCTTCTCTCCATAAACAGCACTTGGGAAGTGAAGTTTTGTCTTCGACTGTGTCTATTGGCCACTTTATTAGGTTCTCTTTGCTAATACCCTTGTTACAACTTTTGCCTTCAGCAATATTTTAAATCTTTGTGGCATATGCAACAAGCTGCTGGAAGCATTACTCATATTGTTGTTTATTTGAGCTTTGTGACATGGTGCATTATCCTGTCATGAAATGAACACACTGAACTGAACATGGTCAGCAACGATACCAAAGTAGACTGCAGACTAGTTTTATTCATGCTCAATTGGCACTAACAGGCTAAAAGTGTGCCAAGAAAATCTCCCACACTCCATTACACCACCAGATACCTGAACTGTCAATAGAGTGTAGGGTTGATCCATGTTTTCTTATGCCACATTTGACCCTCCCATCTAAATATCACAGCAACAATAGAGACTCGTCCTTTATCCAGTCTTCTATTGTCCTGGTTTGATGATGGTTTTAGCCGTAGACAGGAGTGTCACATGTGTGCTTTTCAGCTGCTGCTGTAGCTCATCTGCTTCAAGGTTTGATATGTTTTGTGTCCGGAGATGATCTTCTGCAGACCTCAGATTAAATGAGTTACTGTTGCCATTCTATTAGCTTAAACCTCATCTGACCTCAGGCAGTTTTACCCACTTACTGGATGACCATTCTCTGTGAACCCTAAAGATGAGAGTGATGCAATCCCGGTAAATCAGCAGTTTCTGAAATACTCAGACGAGCCCAGTAAAACAGCAGCACAGTTGTAAATCATTTACAGTGCACTTGTAAATTTTACAGTATTATATGCAACTAAAATTGCCACTAATACTGTAAATTTACAGCAATTAGAGTGTTGCAAACCCTACAGTTTCAGCATATGTTGTCCTTTTTTCAAAGAGAAAGTCAAACTTTAAAGTTTCTATCTTCCTCATTCTGATGTTCGGTTTAAACTTCAGAAGATCATCCTGATCACATCTGCATGCCTAAATGCATTGAGCTGCTGCCATGTGATTAGACCTTAGATATTTGAATCAATAAGCAGTTGGACAGGTGTACCTAATAAAGTGGCCAATTAAAATACATATCATTTATTCCTTTAGAAAATTGTCAAAAGTTAAGCATTATCTCACAGCATTAGGTCTGTCATTGTGGTTTCTCATGAAGGGGTAAAAGGCTCCAAGTTGTGTCCAGCGCACACACAGCTCTTCGTTAGTGTCTCCACCAAATCCACAAACATCAGCTCCCACTAATGGAATGCCATACAGTCCAAACAGGAGCACAGCTGGTGCATACACACAAAAACACAGCATTACATCAGAGATAAAACATGCATTACTAATAGGAACCAAAAATAAATAAAGTCATTTTTCATCTTATTTTGCAGTAAAATTAAACTTCCAAAACAATTCATATTAAATTTTTTACATTGTGATCTGTATATTTTGTCATGCTTTTTTTCTTTAGCATAAGAAAATTCTGACAAGCTCTTTTCTTAGGGCAAAGAATAAGCTAAACTTTATTTTTATCCTCTTTGAAACCTTCGTTTATCGTCTCTCACCGGGTATTGAAAAGCGCAGTTGTTCCCAGTCACTTCGCACATCTCCTGTCCAGTGTGCAGAGAAACGACCCAGTCCCGGAAAAGATGATCGAGATAAAACAAACGGCCGAGTTTTCTTCACTTTTAGCAGTGCCCTGAAATATCAAACCACATTTAAATGCATCTTTCACTAAACATCTTAAATCTAAAAATAAAAATAATGTACGCGTCAGTCAAAAATATTTGTTCTACGATTATTTCATAAAGCATTTTAGCACAAAAACAAGTATTTTAGCAACAAAGTGTGCGAAACATTAGTAATGAAGAGGACTCCATTCATTCATTTTCTTGTCGGGTTAGTCCCTTTATTAATCTGGGGTCGCCACAGCGGAATGAACCGCCAACTTATCCAGCAAGTTTTTATGCAGCGAATGCCCTTCCACCCAAAACCCATCTCTGGGAAACATCCACACACACACACTCATACACTATGGACAATTTAGCCTACCCAATTCACCTGTACTGCATGTCTTTGGACTGTGGGGGAAACCGGAGCACCCGGAGGAAACCCACGCAAAGGCATGGAGAACATGCAAACTCCACACAGAAACACCAACTAAGTCGAGGTTCGAACCAGCGACCTTCTTGCTGTAAGGTGACAGCACTACCTACTGCGCCACTGCCTCGCCCTTTTGAAGTCCTTTAAGATTAAATAACATTCATTCATTCATTCATTCATTCATTCATTCATTCATTCATTCATTCATTCATTCATTCATTCATTCATTCATTCATTCATTCATTTTACTTCAGCCCAGTACTAGGAAACACCCACACACTCATTCACACACATACACCATGGACGAACTAGTTTATTCAATTTACCCATACTATTAGTGGTAAGATAAATTGCTTTCAACAAACTCTGCCCTGTTATTTGTGTTTTATAAAGTTTTTCTATGAACTGAAGTGGCATTTCTCTGACCTGTGAGTGGCGATGGCTTCGGTCAGCCCATAGAGGTTGTGTAGATTGTAATGATTGGACAGATACTGCTGTGCGGACACACACAGAGTTCCTGAGTTTAACTGGCCTCCAATCACACCTATGAATACAGATGCATGTCACATTAAATCACTAGAAAGAGTGATAGTATTCTACTAAAAAGACTTTAGTATTGTGACCTGGTGTATATGGTGGTTTCTCCAATTCAGAGTCAGGACATCCATCCACAGAGCCCTGGACAAAATTTGAAGGCTCATTCATGTCCTGTAAACAAGAAAATCACAGAAAAAAGTTGCAGTTATCTGTAAGTTATATACAGTGATCAACATAAATGAGATTTGAAAATGAATATCTCAGTGAATATATTTCGGTTCATACAAAACAGATTTATTAAATGGATATAATTATCAAAAAATGTTTTAGTCACCGAACATCTTCAGAAATAGAAAGATAATAGATTTAAATTCATGCAAAATATTGAAAGAAAATAACAATCTTAAACATTTTAACAAAATTGTATAATTTTTGTTTCACTTCATTTTGCTCTTTTTTTTATGTTTAATGAATATTTTACCCCAAACATATAAATTTAGGTGTACTAATTATGGACCGTTATTATGAGTTATTAGGTTACTAACAAAACAAAAATACAAATAAAATGACTGAAACATAATTGTATATTTTATAAATCCAGTTTTCCTAAAAGAACACCTAAAACCTGTTAAAACATAACAAAAATTAGGAAATAAAAAATAAATAACATTTAATAACAACAGTTTTATTTAATTTGTAAAATAAGATGAAAAACAACAACTATGTATATTTGCCAAGCGGCAACCTACCGCTCTCCCTCGTGAAGCTAATTCCGGCTGATTAGCCGCTGATTTCGACATGTACATCGTATTTTTGTTTTGTTCAATGTGGCTTTACACAGTCAGATGCTTTTTGAAAATATTTACTACAATTATCAGATGATATGGCATGTTGTGTGCACTTTAATGTGCACACAAACCCTTCATGAGGCCTCCATCTCCCAGGTGAGTGAAATGATATACCATCTCCATAAAAGTATTTGTTTTATTTAAGATAAATTATTAGCTTCATTTGCATCCTTCAGAAACATATGGGTGACATCACAGACACTATGTCCATATCTTTTACAGTCTATGATATTTGCATGTAAAATGTACATTTGTTTTATGTCTAATGACATTGAATGCAAAAATATTAGTAATATTTAATCAATAAAAATAAATTTTCTTTAAGTACTAAAATCTAATCTTATTATCGACAGCTTCAAAATACAGACAATTTTCCTAAATAATACATCCTTTCATGTGTTTTTATTTTGTGGCTTAATGGGTAGGACGATCAAATCCCAGCAAGAAGGTCGCTGATTCAATTACCGGTTGGGTCAGTTGGCATTTCAGTGTGGAGTTTGCATGTTCTCCCCGTGTTCACATAGGTTACCTCTGGGTGTTCCGTTTTTTTCCCACAGTCCGAAGACATGCGCTATAGGTGAATTGAATAAACTACTGGCCATAATGCATGTGAGTGTGTGCAATAGTGTGTGGGTGTTTCCCTGTGTTGGGGTGCGGCTGGAAAGGCATCCGCTGAGTAAAACATGTGCTGGATAAGTTGGCAGTTCATTCCACTGTGGTGATCCCTGATTAATAAAGGGACTAAGCCGAAAAGAAGATGAATGAATACTTACTATCCAAAGTCCATCCACAGGTACCTTGTTGTAAAAGTCTTTGATCCAGTCCATCCACCAGTCCTGTGTTGTAGGATTGGTGAAATCTGGGAATGCAGTCGGACCCGGCCATACCTGATTAAATTATGAACAAAATCGAAATGTTTTCCACCTTATGCCCTAAAGACTAAAATATTATAAATACTACACTGGAAGAAAATAGATCTTGTAATCTTGTGATCTGTTATAATGACAGTAATATTTCTTTCATGTGTGACACCAACCTTCCCAATAAGGATCTGTCCAGTGGAGTTGTTGATGAAAACTCCTTTCTTCAGTCCATCGTCAAACGGTTTGTATGAACCAGGAGGACTCGCGCTGCTGATGCCTGGATCCTAATGCATAACATCACAAGTTATTTAACATGCTGATTTGTGTCCTGTGGCTAATTTCCCTGCTGATAAAACAACAGAAACCTACAAAGGCTTTATAATGGTTTTAATGTACACTTGAAATCATATTGGTTTTAATGGAAACTATACTGGTTCTTTAACAAATAAACAAATCAATCCTAATGAGAAATGTCCCAAAACACATTAAAAAGGATTCAAATGTGCTGGTTTTGATGGTTTGTAATGTATTTGTAGATTTATTTATTCAATATGACACTGACGTTTTACCACATAACACAAGACAACAAGTTGATCATATTTAATATTTCCATGATAAAAAAAATCATCCACCTACAAGAATGAGCACATATTTCATCCCCAGCTGATGGAAATCTTCCACCATTTGAGGCAAATCTCCAAACCGCTGCGGGTCGAAAGTAAAGACTCTTCTTTGGTCTGCATAATCAAGGTCATTCCACTGTACATCCTACAGAAGCACATTTAAGGTTATTAAGGCTATATTGTAATGGTAGTAGCCAAAAGTGAAAACCATCCTTGCAGAAATAATATTAAGAATGATGACTATTTAGTCTATGAGTATATAATACGTAAAACAAAGTAATAATATTAATTGACTATAATCTATTTACTATATATGTCATTTCCATAGTTGTTGACTTTCTATTTAATATACATTTATATGTTTTGCAAAGTGGAGTAAACTCAGTTTCCGTCAGAAACATTTGCCATATATATGTTATGCAGCTATGTTTTATTTATATTTGCATACCAAAGGTATCTTGGCCTGCCGCATGAGCTGAACTACTGTCCTAGTGATGTTGGTGGAGGTATAACCCCAACGACACAGATGAAAACCCAGTGACCAGTAGGGAGGCATCATAGGATATCCTTAACAGAGAAGATACAACACAATAAGCTGAAGTTCCATTGGAGTTCCACAGATCTGTCCTTGTCAGAAAGAGATGCATGAATGAGAACACTAGTGAGCAGTTAATGAAGGCCATATCGCTAGTGTCAAGAAGACGAAAGACGAAACTAGTAGTCCATTATAATATCTATAAAGACACACAGCAAATTCATTAGTGTTAAGTTTCGAGTGTTGAGGTAATTCAGAGTAAAGTGTTGAAATTCTAGAGTTAGATAAAGATAAAATAACACTCTCAGTGTTGGAAGCTGATTTGCCTCCTTTTCGTACAGAGTTACATTTTCCTAACGCTAATACAGTGTTGACTACTACATCCGGGAATTTATGCAGCAATATCCCTGAAAGATTTTTTCAGATGCCATTTTCTTCTGCCACGAGGACCAATGAGAAGAAGCAACTGGTGAGTAAAAGTAATTAAAATGTTTGTATAAAGACATTTGACATCAAAATCGTTATGTACAGGCACGTGCACACATAGGGCTCAACATGTGCAGTGCACATGCCCTTTTTAGTCTTGGATAGAAAGTGCCCTTCCAAAATGCCCCCGCGCAATGTTCATGCTTTTATCAGCAGCAGGGTAAATTACTGTAATGGACTACCACCGTTCTTCCCAAGAAGACAGTTGCAGCTTATCCAGAACGCTGCAGCTAGGATTCTGACCAAAACCAGAAAATCTCACCTGTCCTCAGGTCTTTACACTGGTTTCCAGTTACATTCAGAAAAGATTTTCAAGTATTACTACTTGTCAATAAATCACTAAATGGCCTCAATACATAACAGGTATGCTCACTGAATACAAACCCAACAGATCACCCAGATCTTTAGGATCAAGTAAATTAGAAAATCCAAGAGTTCAGTCAAAGTTGCAGTGCTTCCAAGCAAAATAAAATAGCCTTCGTAATAGTTCATGTGAAGTGAACTGATTTCCTCCACACAGTAAAAAATATCTGTGTAAACTAGCATTTTTCGATATTTTGTGATTCATGTTTTTTTATTTTTCTCCATTTATTTATGCTTTTGAATTGCATCATGGCACTTGGATCGTTCTTCCAACAACTTTAAATCTTGAAAAGTTAAAAAGGTGACTTTTATGAACATTTTTATTATGGTGATATATTGTTTGGGTTTACATTACAGTACAAAATCTTCGTAATAAACTGCCAGTACAATTTTTGTTATTTTACAGATTTATTTTTTCTATATGTTATATTTTATACAGTAAATAATTTCAAACTACAAAAAGTCCCTTTGTTAAACTGTAGAGTTGAATTTTTAACATTAAATGTCAACAGAGCAGATATCAAGGTCTAAATAATTAATTTACGACTGCAAATAAAATAAAACACTTATTTTAACAATATGGAAACTATCTTAACAAATATTGGGATCAAAACATCAGGATCGCAAAATAATTCAGATTATTTAATACCTATAACCTCCTGATACTGTTGAATCACACTCTGAGGACTCGGGCCCAAGAAGATGAAGAAGTCCAGAATTCCTCCAATGGTCACCCATGTTAATGCTGGAGCAGGCTGCATAAACACTTCTGCAATTGTCAGGTGTTTAGAGTTATTAAACATGTTATATTACATCATGAAAGGAGAACAGGAAAACTGTACCCATTGCATTGCTGTTGAGAAGGAAGACTCCATGTGCCTGTCCATCACCTTCTTGGACCAGGAAGAAAGGGTGGGAGCCATACAGGTTGGCACTTCTCTAAAAAGAGTTATTTTAAAATATAAATAAAAGGAGGTTAAAGAAAAATGTGAAAAGATGTGACGGTCTTACATGTGGTGCCATGTCTCTGTTCCATAATGAAACAGAGCTCCAGTCGAGGTCCAGCGTGATGGGAGTGTAATGTTCACCCAGTCCCGAGACTGTAGAGGAAGCCAGGCTGGTAGAGAGCTGGAGATACTGATCTGCAAACAGCAGAGGGCCTATTGTAGTGTTCAGACTAGGAAAAGAAAGAATATGACGCATTTAGTAAAGTCACTGTCGCGGATTAAATATAACCACAGAATATACATATGCCAATCAAAAGGGTAAATGGTTGAAAAAGGCAACATTTCACTGTTAGCACGAGTGTCAAGCCAAAAATCATTAGTCTGTAAAGTCTGACAGTTATTGGTGCTGATTTAATTGTGCAGATTAATACTTCTATTTACCTTCATATATTATATTATATTATATTATATTATATTATATTATATTATATTATATTATATTATATTATATTATATTATATTATATTATATACAACAGTTCTGTCTGGTTCTCGAATCTCATTGGCTGATAGCTGTGCGATATTTAAGTAATATCAGCACCCATACAGCCTCTTTACCCTTTGTGTATTACTCCGCCCACATACAGCCAGCAACAAGCAGAGAGACACTACAGTTTGACAAATATTACTGCTGTTAGACAACAAAATGTACTTTTGAGGTTTTTTTTAGTCGAGAATGTAGTTGTTTAGATTGCAACTATGCAGTTTATTTTTAAGAATAGTGCCTATTTTAGAATATTTACAATTTCTGAGAGAGGGCATAAGCCTGCCATAGTATAAAAGACCAAAGACAGTTGACGTTTTCTATCCACAAGATGGCGACAGATCCACATAATAAGCCCTTACGCTTAGAACAGGGATCACCAAACTTGTTCCTGGAGGTCCGGTTACTCCGGTGTCCTGCATATTTTAGCTCCAACCCTAATCAAACACACCTGAACAAGCTAATCAAGGTCTTACTAGGTATACTTCACCCAGGCAGGTGTTTTGAGGCAAGTTGGAATATTACATATTCATTTATTTTCCCCCAGCTTTGTCCCTTCATCAGCTGTCGACACAGCGGAATGAACCGCCAATTATCCAGCATATGTTTTACGCAGCGGATGCCCTTCTAGCTGCAACCCAGTACTGGAAAAAATCCATACACACTCATTCACACCCACACAATTCACCTATAGCGCATGTATTTAAACTGTGGGGGAAACCAGAGAACCCAAAGGAAATATACGCGACAAGGGGAGAACATGCAAACTCCACAAAGAAACGCCAACTGACCCAGCAGAGGCTCGAACCAGCGACCTTGTTGCCTTGAGGCAATCGTGCTACCCACTGCACCATTGTGACGCCCCTGGTAAAAATAAATAAAAATCTAATACTAAAAAAAGTTATTTAAATAAATAATTTTTTGAAAATTAATAGTTTATCTGAAACTAATTAATTTGACTATTTATTTTAGGACTTATTTCATAAATTAGCAAAGTAACACTACCATTCAGCTATATGGACTGTTAGCTATAGTTTCAATCTATTTTTATGGAACTTTGGATAATGGGCTATATGCACACCTAGAGTTTTAAAGCCGACGATAATTGTCCCGTGAAAGCTTAATGCGACTATTTTTAATTTCACAAAGTTGTTTTTACAGCATCGATGTTGTAATGTAATTAGATTACATTCAGTTAAATAGACTTAAGCATTCATTCAGTTGTTCAAGCGTAAAACAAGATAAAAGACTGTTGCAACCACTAGCGCCATCAAGATCAGCAGGCAAGAGCAAAAAAATCCTTTGAAAATACTGGGGTAAAATAACCGTCATATTTTAAATACATAATATAATGAAATGAAATTTAATGCAGTGCTTCTTGTCCGATCTGAGACCCATTTCATATCGTATATCTATCAGGCAATGAAGATAGCAGGTTTTTAAAGAAATCAGGTTTTAAATGTGACAATTTTGTAATAAAAAGTCAGTTCACCGGAAGAACTTGGGCTGCCTGGCTGAAAATTTAAAGTCAGTGTGCATATAGGCCACTGCATTTAAATATAAAGTTAAAGCAACCATTTTTTGATTGATTGTTTGTGGCGGTTTCTTGGGTAGTGATGATTTTCTTGAACACATGACACAGAAACAGTGCTTTATACTCAAATATTTTTTATAAACTTGCAATATTTTAAGTTTAAATCACAATTCTGAATGAAAACATATAGGTATTTGAATGAAATAATGGCATTGGTAAAAGCTAAAAATGTACATATGCAATGGCAGAAAAAGTCAAAAGGAACTGCACTCACAGAACACGGCCATTGGATTTTCGCCGTACACTAAACCCAAATGGTTCTGGCTGGAAATCAACATCATAAAGTGGATTTTCCATGCTCTTGTGGCCTTTGGATTGGGACTTCACAAAGGGAACCTCATATCGTGGAGATGTAGGATCCTTCAACTGTGGTAAAGTGAAATTAAAGCAACAGTTCACCCACAAACAAAATTTGCTCTTCATTTACTTACACTCAAGTAGTTCTAAACTTATTTGTATCAATTTATTTCTTCTATTGAAAAGAAAACAAGATATTCTGCAAAAATGTTGGATGAAAGCAGCCAATGACATCAATAGTAAGAACTAAATGTGCTTTGCCTGTTTTTCCTCAACATTCTTCAATATATCTTATAACAGAAGAAAGAAACTCCCAGGAATCTGAAACAAGTGGAGAATGAGTAAATGGTAAATAATGACATACTTTTTGGGTGAACTACCACTTTAAGAAAGTAAAGTATTGGATAAGCAGGTATACTCTACACAGTTGTAAAAATAAACAGATTAGCCATACATAATAATGGTTTACACAAAAATAATGTTATATTGTAAGTAGGGCTCCATGATATTGGAAAATTCTGAAATTGAGGTATGTTGGATGTTTGGAAAGATTTCATTAATTTAGATTGACTGGGATGATCAAGTCATTTTCTATGAAGTGGATCTGTATTAATTATAATCTTTAATAAATAGACAAATAATAATATTTATTTGTATAGCACTTTTCCTACATACATATAACTCAAAGTGCTTCACAAATAACAAACAAGCATTGTAAAATAAACCAATTAAAAAATAAAGATAAAAACAAATGTATAGACAAATAAAGCAAGATAAACAACTATAAACTCAGATAAAAGCATATATGTACGCATATATGCATATAAAGTTAAGGTCAGAATTATTAGCCCCCTTTGATTTTTTTTTTTCTTTTTATAATATTTCCCAAATGATGTTTAACAGAGCAGGAAATTTTCACAGTATGTCTAATAATGTTTTTTCTTCTAAAAAAAGTCTTATTTGTTTTATTTCGGGTGGAATAAAAGCAGTTTTTAATAAAAATAAAAATAAACATTTTAAGGTCAAAATTATTAGCCCCTTTAAGCAATTTTTTTCAATAGTCTACAAAACAAACCCTGGTTATACAGTAACTTGCCTAATTACCCTAACCAGCCTAGTTAACCTAATTAACCCTGTTAAGCCTCTAAATGTCACGTTAAGCTGTATAGAAGTGTCTTGAAAAATATCTAGTCAAATATTATTTGCTGTCATCATGGCAAAGATAAAATAAATCAGTTAATTGAGATGGGTTATTAAAACTATTATGTTTAGAAATGTGTTGAAAAAAATCTTCTCTGTTAAAAAAAAATATTGTGGAAACAAATAAAGAGGGAGGCTAATAACTCTGACTTCAACTGTATATATATATAAAATGCAATATATAAAACTTCACATACTGTCATATTCATATGCAATTTTAAAAAAGTGTGTCTTAACATGTTTCTTGAAAACATGGATGCTGGGGGTTTCTTTCACTTAATTTGGGATATAATTCCACATTTTTGGAGCATAACAGCTAAAAAAGGTCAGATGGCATCAGATTTACAGAGTGAAATTCTAAAAGTCCAGCTCTAGAAAGAGCGTAGCAAAAGTCTTGGATTAAATCTTAATAAGCAGTCAAAAATGTAAGAAGGTGTCAGGTTGTGTGGTGCCTTGTAAACTAATAAAAGAATCTTAAAATCTATCCTTTGGTGCACTGGCAACCAGTGTAATTCTATTAATGCTGGTGTAAAAGGTCCTTGTTTCTTCAATTTTATTAAAACTCTGGCTGCTGCATTTAGAATCAGTTGCAAGTTCCTTATAGAACTCTTAGGTATACCAATATAAATAGCATTGCAGTAATCAAGCCAAGAGAAAATAAAAGCAGGAATTAATTTCTTGGTTATTTATAGTGGTTAAGGAGTCGTCTGATCGGTAAATCAGAGTTAGCTAATGTGGACCAGGTGCAATCAATCATAATGAGGGCGTGCTCCTCTCAAAATTAGTTTATAAATAAACTTCACTTAAAAACTTTCCCAGAGAGACCTTAAAAGTTTTTCCAGTCTGTTAATCAAAAATGATCAACCGTGTTAAATGCTGCACTTAAGTCCAGAAAAATTAAAACTGACGCTAATTAAACAGTGCTTCATGTTTTTTTTCGAGAGCACAACAGTATTAAAGTACAGAAAATGAACAATCAAAATAGCATGATTATCATTGTATAGTTAAAATATATTTAATAACATGGCAGCACGGTGGCCAAGTGAGTAGCACTGTGGGTTTCCTCCGGGTGCTCGGGTTTCCCCCACAGTCCAAAGACATGCAGTACAGGTGAACTGAATAAACTAAATTGACCACTGTGTATGTGAGTGTGTGCAAGAGTGTCTGGGTGTTTCCCAGTGTTGGGTTGTGGCTGGAAAAGCATTGGCTGCATAAAACATTTGCTGGATAAGTTGGCGGTTTACTCTGCGGTGGCGAACCCAGATTAATAATAGGACTAAGGCAAAAAAATGAATGAATGAATATTTAATAACATTTTTTAAGAAATAATATAATAATGTGATTTGATTATTGCAGATATACACATTAAAATATTGATGCTCAAATGATATATGATTGTTCAGACCTAATTGTAAGTGTAACGGAGGCCAGCTAGTAAGTGCTGTGCAGGTAAACCTCACTCCTCTGACCTCTAAAGAAGCTCTAGCGACAGATGCTAGAGGCCATGGTCTTTAGCCTCCTTGTTAGAGCAACCGACTCACATGCGGAAGGTCGCCAGTTCGATACCAGCTCGGAGCGGGTTGGGTGGCGTAGGACCGGCGGGGTTACATTGGTGCCATGACCTGGATGGGAGTGAGGTATAGGGGGGTGAGTGTAACGCAGGCCAGCATAAGTGCTGTGCAAGTAAACCTCACTCCTCTGACCTCTAAAGAAGCTCTAGCGACAGATGCTAGAGGCCATGGTCTTTAGCATCCTTGTTAGAGCAACCGACTCCCATGCGGAAGGCCACCGGTTTGATACCAGCTCGGAGTGGGTTGGGAGGTGTAGGACCGGTGGGGATACATAAGCATCATATAAAGCAGGGGTGTCCAAACTCAGCCCTAAAGAGCCGGTGTCTTTCAAAGTTTAGTTCCAATCAGACACACCTAATCAAGCTCTTACTAGGCTTTCTAGAAACACCCTTGCAGGTGTGTTGAGGCAGGTTGGAGCTAAACTCAGCAGGGACACCAGCCCTCCAGCAGAGAGTTTGAATACCCCTGATATATATAACATCAATATATAACTGCTTGATTAATGTTGATTTGCCATAATTGTATTGCATTACATATTTTGCCCCTATAAAACCACAGAGCTCATTTCATATAGAAGTCAAAAAGAATTGCTCACAGTGAGATGAAGACGATCCTGAGTCTCAGCCATCACATCTAGCTGCAGTGTGTGGATGTCCCGGGGCAGGTATGAAGGTGCTGAACGAGTGAGAATGGCCCTGTGGCCCCGTTCTGTAGGCAACATGGGCCCCATTTTGTATCCTGGGTAGAAGACTGTGTAGAAACACCACGGTGGTCCTCTTAATCCAGACTGAGGCAGGGGCAAATAACAGCATCCTCTGCTTTCACATTCAGCCCGACTCAAAGATCTGTCCCTAGCACAGTCAATGCGGCGCTCCACAGCTATGCCACACTGATCTCTAGGAACAGTTGATACATTATGACTGTACTTCTGTGCTTTAATGATCCTGTATGAGATATTTGAACTATGCTGCCTTTCTTTTGATGGTGAAAATGCAACACAAATAGTGTTGTCTTCATACACAATGATAAGAAGTACACAAGTCAGTACTGCAAATGTGTTTAAACATCTAATTATGGCCATTGAAAAGAGTTAGTTTGACACTTCATGTATTAAACACAGGGCTGTGAAGCACATATGTAGTCTGTGAGCAATGATAACAAGAAAGCTTGACATAAGTTAAGTGAGTAAACATTTTACTGTCAACAAAACAAACTCTCCCAAATCGAACTACACAATAACGTTTACAAATGACGAGTTTCCTTCACGACGACGTCCTTTAGCAGCATAAGTAACCTGCTGGTCGGTGCACAGCTCTCTGGACGCCGCCATTTTCCTGTGATGTCACGTTCGGGTGTTTCTTTTTTTCTTTCAATTTTCTTTTCGGAAATTTATTGCCTCATATATTATATTATATATTGTTATAATTTTTATATTCATTTGTAGCACGGTGAAGATATATTTTGGGTCATTGTGTCTAGAAAAAATCGTCCAGTTTTTGTAACAACACAAATAAAAGTCATACATTTTCAAGAGAAAGCATGTTTATAGTTAAGACAATCAAAAAATAAAATAAAATGAATGGGAAAATGTTTATTAAACATTTCTTTTAAAATTGTAATTTATTTTATTTGCAGCCTAACATTTCTTATTGAACATATAGTAATGTACAACAACTTATCAGTACATATTTGCATTAAAAAAAAGAAACAGGTGCAAATAAAGAACAAATCACCTACATAAGTAATACGTTACTTAAAATAATTATAAGCAAAATACTACACACAAATCAAAATATTTAAAGGTGAAACCAATGTTTTGTGCTTTCTATAATGAAAACAAATAAGATAAGGTAAACAAAAAGTGCAATAAATCTTCTGTCTTTGATAAAAACGTCTAAATTACAGGAGAACCCCTAGTCTTTTTTATTTATTTATTTATTATATTTAGTTATGTGTACATTTATTTAAGCATAAAGATGTTGTTGATTAGAAGGCATTTTCCTTTTTCTTTTTATTAACTCAATGCCACAAGAACGAGAGGTATTACATTTCATATAGTTTCTGAAAGATATATATATATATATATATTATATATTATATAAATATAAACATTAAAGTAAAATAACATTTACATGAAATTAAATTTTTTCAGAGCATTACATGTTGTCAGTGCTTTTTTGTTTCGTAATTGTTTTAAAAGATTTACATATACTTTGAAGTCATTCAGAAAATGGGTAAAGTTGGGTTTACATTGAGCCCACTTTTTCTTATGTATATGGTATTTTCCTAACAGCATAAACAAATTAAAAATATATTGTCCTTTACAGTTCAAGTTCCATTATCAGAATAAAACATCAAACAACCCAATTTCTATCTTATACTTATTATTTTTTTAACAATTCCAAATCTTTCCAAAATATTCTTGAGTAAATACAATGAAAAAAAAAAGATACAAAATTGTTTCATTTTCTTGACCACAAAATTTACACATTAATGAAATATTAAGTTTCAATCTTTCAGGGAGGCATCTTCCTTACTGTCCATTACAAGTCCATAAATAATGTCATTCACATTAAAGATCTTGAGGTGTGGAATCTTTGGGTAAAGCCAGACATAAACATCTGACCATAATGCATCCACAAACATCCAATGAAAAAACAAATGATCTGTTGTTTCACTTGCAAACAAACAATTTCAAGCGCATGCATATAACAACTGACAGAATATGGAGGATGAATCCTATTGAGGACTACACTTGATTTTGATTTTATTAAATATAAAATAAAACAAGTGAATGTGTTAAATGAGAATTTGACATATTTTATGGCGTACTTCAGAAAATAAAGAGGATTTAATAGTCAAAAATTCTTTATTTTGGTTATATCTTTAAATAAATTGGTCTTACATTTTATCCTTGCAGACATAACCGACAAAACCACAAACCAACATATCAAACATTTGGTAGAGGTTGATATTTTAGAAATTATTGGATGTATTGAAAACAAATGCATTGAGCGTGTTAACTATAGCGACATTAGGAGTTAAGAAATGCAACATTAGCTTCTTGCTTGGACAGTTAAAGGGTTAACATTTAAATTACAATAATGAAATAAATTAGATAAATGATTTATAAGAATTAAATCAATACAAAATGACAAGTTTCTATTACATAACTTTCAAGTACAATGTTTAAACGAATTTCTGTGAATACATGAATGGCAGAATTAACAAGAAGCCTTGTAATGACACTAGCTGCTTAAATAAACAATTCAAATATTATATTTGACGTGTTGTGTTTCGCTGTGTTGAAGTTTTATATTTTCGAGGACTTGTTCGTGCCTCGATGAATTAAAAAACGATGACATCTATTGGCAGAAAACAAAACTGCGTGCATAACCTTTCACCTTCAACCTCTCTGTTTAGCAAAGAACGAAGAGATAAAATAGGCAATTTTATACATTTTATACAGTTTTAAAGAATTGTATGTGTTAAAGTTTTGTGAGCATAACATTTTTACAAAGTAATGTTCTCTCGGTTTATTAATCGCAGCTCGGTGACCTTACGCCATGTTGTGAGAAGCGCGCATGCGCACAGTGGAGGAGAGAGACAGACTGAGGTCGACTAAAGGGTTTTAGAAAATTCACCTTTAAATTAAAGGCTGAAAATGCCGCAGGATTACAATAAAGATGCGTATCCAGAGCCTCCCTCTCGGACTCCGATGGAGAATAAACAAACGGCGGTACCGAATCCCGCTGTGCTGATTACAAAGGTCTTCTACTACACGGTGGATCTGCCAGTGAGCACATTCAGAGGTGAAGTACTGCACACTAGCGTACTCGAGGCGGTGTTTACCTCTGCTTATTCGTCTGCTGTCATTTACAGTTGCCTTTGTGGTGTTAAAATCGCACATATAATAATAGACATGGATTTGTGTGTTTATATAGCGCAATGCATTGTGTAAGGTTTGTATTGGTGCTGGTAAATCTTCGATTTCTACTTATATCTACTGTAATCTAATTTCTTAAATACTGTTTAGATTAGCTGGTGCAGGTTCCTAATTGACCATATTTGGATAACTTACAGTACCAGTTATTACGATAAGAATAAAGATTGGTACACAGTAAACCTCTAATACTTCTCACAGGTTACTAAAACGCTTTAATTTCATAATTGAATAAAGACATCTTTATAAGCAGTTAATCATATCGATTTATAAATGTTCTAAACAGTATTATTGGTAGTTTTTAACCTTTCAGATTAAATAAATGTAAATAAAAGCACAATGCCAAGCTGATGGGTTTGATTCTCAGGAAAGTGACCAAAGTACAAACTGATTAAAATGAGTCTTTAGAGCATGGTATGTGTCGTCTTATAAAAATCTTCGGTCAAATGCATACTCTAAATGCCTACAGAAAGGAGAAACTGACATTTTATTTAGTTTGTGCAGCCTCTTTTAAAGTTACTGTTCATCTAAAAATGTAAATTTACTTATGTACTCACCATCAGGCCATACAAGATTCAATTATTTTAATCAGTAGAATAATTTTGCTATCTTGTATTTAATGAATCATAAAGAACCATAGTTTCAGTTTTCTTCAACTGAAGAAGAAAAATAACCTGCATCTTGAAAGTTACATTTCAGAATGTGTGGGTCTGTATTTGAAGATTTGGTCTTTTTCCTCATAAGTGGGGTTTTTTTTTAATAAAAGAAGTGCTTTTTAGTTTACCTTCATTAGCTTTATAGTTGTAATTACAGCCTTAAACAATTAAATTCCTAAATACTTTAAAAGGCTAACATAATACACATCGATATAATAACAAAACACCATTTTGTACTGGTATAATAAATCTAAATATCTTCTTGTCTTTTCTTGTGTTTCTTGATCTTTATTTTATTGTCTGATTCATGTTCTACCAGGCATCGTTGAGAGCTTTCGTGGGGATAAAAAGGCCTACTACTACCACCAGAAGTTTCGCCGTGTTCCTGAACTGACCCAATGCCAGCAGGGAGATTTTCTGTGCTATTATGAGGCTGAAATGCAATGGAGGAGAGACTAGTATGTCAAATTCCTTTTTACAAAAATATTGCAATTATATTGCATAGGGATGCTCATTTCGGTTAATTTCGCCAACCAACAACTGCTGCTCATTAACCGAATATTAACCGTTGACTAGTCAGATTAATATTAAATACTTATTTAAAAAAAATAAGTATGTTTATTGACAATATACATAACATTATGTAGAATGTAAGAATACAAAGAATATCAGGACTTTAAAAAAAAAATTAGCAAAAGACAAATAATAATAACAATAAAAAAAAATACAAATACAACCCACCCCGCCACCCCACAAATTTTGTCAAAACATTTCTCCTTTTGATGTTACGTAAAGACAGTTGAAATGGTTGATGGTAAAAATAAATAAAAGCAATAATGTCCAGAAATGATGCACAAATAAATTACATTTACATATATGATAAAACATTAAATTAAAACAATAACATAAAATAAGAGAAAGTAAGAACAACAACAACAACAAAAAAAGACTAGCAAAACTAATAATAATTATACGAAACAATCAATTATTAAGGTTAGAGAGGTAATGTGTCAATAAAAGATCCCCAAATATAATCCCTAATTTGATGCTATAAGTCGGTGGGTTTTTGTCTGACAGAATACAGTCTTTTCTCAGGAGTACTATAAGATACAAGCTTATTGATCCAGAGTTTTTTCTCAGGGCGGTTCTCAGATTTCCATTTTTGAAGTATACATTTCTTAGCTGCAGTGCTTGCTAGCAAAAAAAAATGATGATAATAAACAATTTTTTAATAAAAAAAATTGACCTGTTTATTTTTTGTCTGACAAGTTAAATATTGCATTTTAAAATACTGATTTATTTTAACGTGAACAACAGCATACAGAACAGAACTACAGGACAACTGTAAGCACCTGCAGCGCTTCCGACAGCATAGAAAAACAGAAAAAACTAAATAAAAAGAATAAAATAAATGGTCCTGCCCTAGATATTTTTGTTTTAAATGACAATTTTAAATTACAAAATGAAAACACTGACAGAATAATTTTTAAAAACCGGCATATTCTGTTTGTCCAATCATATGTTTTTTTGGCAAATAAAAATAGCAGGTTTCCTCAAATCGATCGCTCCACAGAAAATATGCATTCAATCAATGAAAACTCGGCTTTCATTTGATTGTAGAATGAAAAAGACGCGACTGACCTCAACCGCTTTTTCCGCTCAGAGTTTACTTTATTTTAACTGTGAGCACGCAGCGCACAACGACATAAACGCGAGGTGCGCAGGGCGCCACAAAACACTTGCGGCCGTCAGTAAACCATTCAAAAGATTTCCCTCTCAATCCAAAAAGTGTATTCGTTGTGATTGATCCGTTATGCAGCCAAACTTTAAAAATATATAAAATAATATATTTTTTAATCATTTAATTGATACCATTAATCGGTTACAAACGCACCCTTTCGGATAACGGTTAATCGATTATTATGAGCACCCCTAATGTTGCAAAATTAAGCCACTTCAAGTCAACATGAAATCAATGTTTTATTGATTAATTCATTTAAAAAATTGTCAGTTATCAGTCAATATTTCAGCAAATACTAGGCCGTAAACATAAGTAAATAGTGCTATTCCACCTAGCTTGCTTTACTGAGGTGAAAATGGTTTATATATTGTCATTGGTTCTTTTTTAAACAATGACAGTCTGTGACGCGCTTCATATACTGTTTACCATGCTCCTCTGAATATTCATTCTGCATGCCACCGACCAACCACTAAGCATACAGTAGTCCCTTCAGAACAAAGTGTGAGACCAGCAATTCTGGCATGCATGAAATATTTCACATTGCACAAGTTTTGCTTGCTAACTACATAACTGTAAACGTGCAGTTTTCTGTTCAGAATTGTAGTATTATAAAGTACTGTAAAGTTTACTAACTGGCGAATGACATGATCTAGATGGGTTGTCTGCTGTCAGGTGTGCTTGTTCATGATTTCAGGAGGCGTGGCTTTGGACTGTGTTTCGAAGATATTATGCTAACCGGTTAGCATTTTTGCAGATCACCCACTGCACCTTTAAATAGAAGCCATTTATTTAAACATCACAACAGGGTTGAGAAGACAGCATTTTATTTAATGAAAATGTATACGTTTAACTTTACCTGCCTGTATTTTTGCTCACTGTTTGTTGTCTTTTCTTCTGCAGTAAGGTGGATCAGGAGATTGTGAAGGTGATGCAGAATCGCCTGAAGGCCTGTCAGCAGCGTGAGGGTCACAGCTACGTGCAGAACTGCCAAAAGGAAATTAAGCAGTTTAAAGAAACATCCCTGGCCTTTCAGTCACGCTGTGAGTATTTAGTGCAGTATTGATGTGTTATTGGTGACCAAACAGAGCATCTGTTTCCTTTTCCTTCATCTTCTTCTTCTGCTATGTCTATGAAAGGGCTTGCAGGAAAGTTACAAAATTTGGCTAGTAAACTTGCCTAGCTTAAATTATTGAATCGGATTAGACCGTTAGCATCTTGCTGATAAAGGATTGATAATTTGAAATTTTTTTATTTCAAGCTTGTTCAAGTGTAGTTATATTGTATACTAAGATCGATAACAAATGATATTACGCAGCACTGTTACCTACCTGGGGACTATTTTTCTGGTGCTGTGTAATATTGTGCTTTCTGAGACATGGTACGTTGATAATTACCCTAGAATGAGAAAACAAATTTCCATCAGTCTTAGTACGTAATGTAACTACAGAAGGGTCAAGCTACAAATAGGACAATTATCGACACTCTTTTGAGCGAGATGCTAATGTTCTAATACGATTCAGTGATCTATGCTAAGCTAACAGTGCTCCCGCCAGACCCTGAAGTCAACTTACTGGATTTAAAAATGGTACAACTTAACTGTTTAACCCTAGGGCACTTGTAAAATGAGCTTATTTCTAAAAAAACAAACAAAAAAAACAAAAACAAAGTGGAGTGTTCCTTAACTGGGGCAGTTCTGAATTCTCTTTCTCAATCACTCTGTCTGCTACCTGTCCTTACTTTTTTATAGTTGTTTATCCTATCCTTATCCTAACCTTTGTACTGGAAAAGCTGGAAACAGAATCGGTTTTCTCTCTTATTCTATGAATCAGGACAATGTCATTCAACTCAATGACATTTTTCATTATGACAAGTTTTCTCTGACGTTCTGAATTAAAACACGCACAAATCTTCGAGACTATTGGTCCAATATTCACAAACAATGAACCCAATCTTCTTCAGAAAGTGGCTTTACTTAAAGTAGTTATTAGGGTTGTCTTGATATTGGAATTCGATACCAATCGGTACTGAAATGTAAAAATCTTTCATTTGCAGCGCTTATTAGCCATTGTGTTCACGTGCTCAACAGAAGTGACTGTGATTGGGCGTGAAGGTCATCACTTTACCAAACTCACCGCTGATTACGGAGTGTAACCACAAGTATAGGGACACTGGAGCGTTTTAAAGTCACGTCTGGTTTGCTGGTTTGTCTATAAGCTGACATATGAGCAATCCACTGATGAATCGCAGCTTAAAAACGCTCTGCGAAATGGACGTTTTTAAAATTTCAGTACTGATTGGCGTCGAATTCCACTATCTTGACAACCCTAGTTGTTAATTAAATAAACACAACTAATAAAACAAATTGGACAAAGAGTTTACCTAATTGGTTATGACAACAAACATGTGTAGTTTCTTGCTCAGTGGGTGGACACGAGAAACATTGACATTTTTATGTTTAAGTGTGTTACTAAAGCATAAACATATTACTCTGGCCAACAATCATAAGACTGCTGTTTTTATATTTGATGCAGCATACCGATATGACTGAAATATTGTCTTCCTGTGTTCACAATTTTTAGATATTTATTCAGTGTATTTTATCAATGCAAAGTTGAAAGGTTACAAATCTCAATGTATCTTTTCAACATGAGCTAAAGATTTAAACAGTTTTTGGGCCAGCGTTTATCCTTAGACATTTCAAATCAATCCAAATAGCTTTTGACTAGAACGTTGATACCAATTTTGTCTAAACTGGAGGATGGAAAGAGCATTTCAGATGTAACTTTGTACTGAAACCATAACAATGTTCATAATTGTTTCTGTATTAATGGTGTGTCTGTATTTATGGTAGATGGGGACCTGGGTGCATACGGAAGCGCACGGAAGTGTTTGATGAAACAGAAGGAGAGAATGATGAAAGAGGCGCAGAAGGAATAAAACTCCTCTCCTATGGCTTTTCCACTTCAGTCTCTCTCATCTGTGCATCAAATTGTAAAATAAAGTTTATCGGAAAGTTACTTCTCAGTAGCTGTAGTTATTTAATAAAATCCTGTCCGTTTCAAAATACTTTTATACATGGTTCCTTTTATTACTTCTATACAGTGTAAGATTTCTCCTTTTAGTATTTACTTTTTACAGCTTATTTTATGTGCGTTTTATATTCCATTTCCTGCTTATAATCTGTTAGTGACACTATGGCCAGTTAGTAACACATTGTCACATTCATTTTATTTCTATTAAAATCACGAAGTTCAGAATTTTGCAATTAGATGCATGACCTCAGTGAACACTATGCTATTTATTAGGGATTTAAGATATATTGATAATGCAGGGGTGTCCACACTCGGCCCTCGGGGGGCCGGTATCCTGAAAAAAATTAGTTCCAAGTTTCAACCCCAATCAGACACACCTAGGCTTTCTAGAAAATCTTTGCAGGTATGTTGAGGTAAGTTGGGACCTAAAGTCTGAAGGACACCGGCCCTCCAGGACAGAGTTTGGACACCTCTGATTTAATGAGATTTTATCCAAGGTGACTTTACAAATTCATATAATAAAAGTTATTCAACCCGAAAACATTAATATTTTAGAATATGACTGCAATGAGCATTATTAGGATCCATAGTATGGAGTTTAAAATAATTTCTTAAAGTGGATTGGTCCACTAATGCATAAAAAAAAGCTTTGTTTTAATGCAAGTTTGACTGTATTTGACTTTACTCACTATAGTGCTAATTTTAAGTTCCTTCAACCAAGATAATGACAATTAAAATGCATTTTATTCCACATTAAATTGGACAAATATTTTACTCAACTATTTATGATTTAAACAAGATAAAGTTTAAAATGCTATGTAGGTGTAAAATAAAAAGGTCAGTAGTGCCAGTTATTAGATCAGACACAATGTGCATATTATAGGGCTCTCACATCTTGGTTAACTTCAAATTCAGGAATGTTTTTGCAAGAATGGAATTGAAGAGCTTATAGTTTCACATAACCAGAGGTTCAGATATAAATACTTTGTCTCTTTTGCTCTGTGGATTCACATGATCAAATTATTTAGCCAACAGATTAAGTTAAAATACGAGTCATGGCAACAAAGCTCCTAGTGAGAAACAATGTATTAAAAAAAAAAAAAAATTTTTTTACCTTATCAAAAAGCTCGTTTGCAGAGGCCAAAGTGTTAGCAAGACAATGGGTTAGCAAACCTAAGGGAATATGGAATTGTTTTCCAGAAAACATATGATGCATCCCAATTTGCCTACTTGTACTACACTCTAGAAGTGTTCACTTTCCGCATTTGTAAAAAAGTATATACTTGTGCGAGTAAGCTTTGGGACACACTACCTTGTTAACAGATCACCATGTTGTTAAGTTACGTCCAGTCTATCATCTTGACATTTCTTTCATATTTATCTACCTTATTGGAGAAGCAGCAGCAGGGTTATCTGCCATTCGAGTTAATGTCAAAACATCTTTATGAAAGTTCACATTGTTGCAGATGAAATGCAACTCTGAAAATGCAGTTTAAATGCTCCAGTTGGCTAGATATTAAGCCTTCAAACTACTTTACCGAAGCCTCTGTACTTGATGGTTGGTCTCACGTGTCCGCCATGTTTGTTCACTTTTCACCCGTGTTTGTAGTTCTAATAAATTTTAGATCCAATGTGCAGTGCACTGAGGGCATTATCAGCAATTGCTTCTGGATGCTTCTACACTTCTGAGTTTGGTAAACAATCTGGGAACCTTTGGCAAACTCTTTTCAACATACTATTCTTTGGGACATAATATACTATGTTTGAATACTATTTGGGATGGATAGCATGTGAATTGGGACGCAGCATTAAACAAATTCAAGCAAGGACCATTATTAATGCTTATTTTCCAACACTTTCCAGCATCTAATGTAATCAGAATCACAAACTTTAAAAAGATTAAGGAACCATGGGAAAGCCAGTAATATCAGGATATTATTTTGCACCTTTCACACAACTTTAACGCCCAAGAACAGACCATACACTCAAAGATGGTTTTACTTCTGGACTTTTATTTCAATCCGTTGTACAAAATTTAGGAGGTTCCCTGAGGAAGAGCTCCCTGAGTCCTCTGAACGGAGACCCTGGTGTGAGTCTTGGCCAGATGATCAGTGAATTCCTGAAAGACAAAACACACGTCAGCTTCAAGAACAACAAGACAAGTTAGCAGAAACAAACATATAAACAAGCATTACCTGGTAAGGAGACTTGGTGAACACTGTTTCCTTCCAGAGATCAGGGGTCAGGTAGCTGTAGGTCTTTGAGATCGCGTCAAAGGTGGCCTTGGCTACAGATGACAATGCGTCAGTTACTAACAGACTCATTCATTGATTACTGCATCCTGAAATGCTGGCATTCAAACTCAATCTCTTACCAAAGTTGCCCAGAGTAGCGGTGCAGCCCCTGGCAGAGGTGTAGCAGTCGTCAATACCAGCCATCATCAGCAGCTTCTTGGGCACAGGAGCAGACACGATACCAGTACCACGGGGAGCAGGAATGAGACGCACCAGGACTGAACCACAGCGACCGGTCACCTGAACAAACACATTTCAGCCATTAAAGAAGCTCGCTTTCAGAGTAGGACTCACCCTCATCATCCAAGATTTGTAGAGTAATTAAGGTTGAACACACACAGATTGCTCTGGTGGTTCTTCCAAATTGCAGCTTTAAAATGTCTCACAAAGATCTTACTTCGCCAAACTATTGGTTGATTTCATGACCCCCTAATAATGGTCATGCTACTTTTAGAGTTGACACTTAAATTCTAGGTGATGCACTGAGTTTGGCTTATCAAGAATAGTTGAGGTTTAGGCTATTTTTTAAGTATGTACTGAAAAGTCATGCACTTGTGTGAGGGGGATAGTTAATGCTGAAAAGAGTTAAAGAAATTGATAATTTAACTAGAAAAGCTGGTCTGGATATACATTAGTCAATGTTTGAAGTGGATATAAACCTTTTATTAAATTGGTCCTTAAACTACTGAACATCCATTCTTGTCTTTTTAAATCCATCTAAAATGTTGACTGCTGCTTATACAAACACGTTTGCCAGGTGGATTTTCAGTACAAATGTAATAACTCGCCTAAACCTAGACTCACCTTTATAAATATATAAAATGCATACCTAGAATCCACCTAAAATTTCCCTTTGACTATTAAGGGCATAAACCAGCAATAATTAGGCTGAGAGGGATGTTTTTTCCTCATCTGAGATCATGTAAAGCCATTTGTAGCTACAATTTGGAAGATTAAACCAATATGTCCAACAAGGGCTGCATGATTAATCTAAAAAAAAGATCAATCTCGATGTGACCCTACACACGATCTTAATTCAGCTTTTTTATGATTCAGCCAATTATATAAAGGCTGTCACAAATATTCACATTTTATTTTTGTTGCTTAGCAAATGGACAAATGATGTTAAAAGTGTCACATACTGTATTTATAAGGTATAATTCACCCCAAAATATAGTTTCTGTTTCTCTTAATGTAATGACTTATTTCTTGGCTGCGAAATCCCACACAAGCTGATGCACTGTTTACAATAGAGAAGACACGCGAATTCCCACTAATGACGTCTACTTTAGTGAACAGGTAATGAAGTCTGAATAAAGTTCAGTTTGTTGCACAAAGCGATTGTTAGGGAGGCGCGTGGGAAGTATGATTTGCATGCATTTTTTTTTACTTCCTGAAAGTGACGGTAGCTATAAATGCACTCGGCAATGAAAGTGAAACTAAAAGTTCAAACATTTAAATGATCATATCACATTTTACAGTAATGATTAAGACAAGCATTTGATATGGTCTTTTTTCTTTAACAGCAAACAATATATCTACAAAATCCTGAGAAAATCGACATCTTAAGCTAAAAGAAAATCATAATTCCTATTTTAGCAAGAATCGTGCAGCTCTACATCTAAATATAAAGAGAATTTTTTTTGGATGTCAATCAATTTCATTTCTTTTTGACTGGAGCAATAAACAGATTAACAAATGGGGCGATTTGACTTCTTCCAGAATCATAGTAATCCTTTAAAATAAAGATGTATTCCTATTTAATGCCATATCAGCAACAGAAGCTATTTTCATGGCAGAAACACTTCATTGATAAATATTCAATCAAATAAACTATGCATAAAAATAAAATGAGGGAAGATTTTCTTTAAGATTAAGTGCAGAACTCGTCATAATGTGCAGCAAATAGTCTCTGCAGACTGACCTTGCATGGCACGGTGTGTGGCTTTCCGATCTTGTTACCCCAGTATCCTCTTCTGACGGGAATGATGGACAGCTTGGCCAGGATGATGGCTCCTCGGATAGCGGTGGCCACTTCTTTAGAGCACTTCACCCCCAGACCAACATGGCCATTGTAGTCACCGATAGCAACAAAGGCCTGGAAGATGGAGATGCATCAATGATTAAATTAATGTGCATGCAATCGGGCTGCTGCGTGTCAGTAAGGACGAGGTCAAGTCACCTTAAACCTGGTGCGCTGACCGGCCCTGGTCTGTTTCTGGACAGGCATGATCTTCAGGACTTCATCCTTCAGCGCCGATCCCAAGAAGAAGTCAATGATCTCAGACTCCTGGAGAAACAGGCATTATTAAAGTAAGAGTGTGTAAGCTGCGTCTACAAATCTTTTCATACTGAGACATGCATCAGGTCAAAAGTGTGAACAAGTTTAAAAAACATTTTTATTTAATGTCATGGCAGCAACAATACCTATTATCGTGGCAAAAACAACTAATTTTTGGAGAATTTGTTTATTTTTTTTAATACATAAACTAAACTTTTAGCTTTATTGCATTTTAAAAATAATTTTTTTCCCCTTGTAAACCTTTGGTTTGAGAAACAAGTCTGACTTTTTAATAATTCAATTCTATGCCTTGGTTAATTACATTTAGCATATTTGGAGTTCAATCATGTTCACATTTGTTGGAAAATAACTTGCCCAACTTTAAAAATTGGGAAAACTTTATATTTTGATGCTATAGTATTACAATAAACTAGTCAAAACAAGCCTAAAGTAACTCACCAGCTAACAAATAAGAATTAAAACAATAGTTGGTGTCATTTAAAGTGTTACTTGACAATGCACAGAAAACTTTATTCCAATGATGCTTAAATGTTACCAGGGTTTGACAATTTGGCTTGGATATTGCATCAGATCTGATTGTTTACATTATCTACAATGAAAAAAAGCTTTTATAAGAATTAAACTATTGGTCAATGTGGCAAAATGTTCATTTTAGGCACTGAAAATAGTACCCAAAATATTCTATGCATTTATTTTTAATTATGGATGCATGTCAGTCTGGAAACAACCTAATAACATTATTCAATACAAAGTAAAGCTAGTAATGATTATAGTAGGTAAATAGAAAACACTGTAATATATACACCATATTATACATATATAATGGCCAGTTTTCATGTCAACTTCAATACCTTGATTGGCAGAGAATACAGATAGATCTCCTCCAGGGACTTGATCTTCATGTCCTTCACCAGACGACCAAGTTTGGTCACAGGCACCCACTATATACATGATAAGACAAATATAATTTAACACATAAAAACTGATGATAAGCTACACTTTATAGGATTTTACGGTTTCTAGAAGACATTTATTACAATTTGTGTTGCGTGTCTATAAATGTGAATCTTAAAGCATTAATTCGCATGCATTAAAGTATATAATAAAATAATGCTTTACCTCCTTATCTTCGGATTTTCCTCCCCGGGCACCGCGGCCTCTTCCACGGCCCCTGCCGCGGCCACGACCGCGACCCCGGCCGCCAGTGCCGAAACCTCCGCGAAAACCTCCTCTACCACCGGCGTCGTCCGCCATTTGCTTTGGAATAGAAATGTAAACATTTTCCGTTAATTAACACGTTATGAATATCGTTATAGTTATGACACATGCCGATTAACATGCGCTTGTTGCGTTACTATCGTTACATTAACTATCATGTAACTTACACTATAGCTGATAAAATAAAGCCGTACGCATTACTTATTTTAAACATGTTAACAATATCATCTATTTATACGACTGATCACCCGTGCCGCCATTTTTGCGCTCGTCTAGTCTAGTTACGATAAAAATAAAACATTTACACTAAAATCATATAATTAATTTCTTCATCATGTGGTTAAAAATCCACGCGCACACATGTCCTGAACACATTTTGATGTTTTTATTTTGCGATTGCAGGGATAGCAGCAGATGCAGATAATCAGAGCGAGAAACCCATGTTGACTTACGTGATGTGTATTCAGGAAGAAGAAGGCCGCACGAGAGTTCGCGCAGGATTTATACTACGCCAATCCTCGCGAGATTTCATGACAGCCGCTATGATGATGATGATGATGATGGTGACGACCTCTAGCGGCAATGGACAAGTCTGTCAGTTTTGGACCAAAGACAATATAAACTAAGTAAGGATTTTTTGGAAGATAAAAAGTATGTTGTCTGTTGTTTTGTGTCAGTTATGATGCTAATTAGATAAAAAAATAATAATAATAATTCGAGTCAATGTACTGTATGTTGAGTTGTTCAGGGAGCAAATGTGTGGTGTTTTGGAAATGAAAACACATGTTATCCTTGCTTAATTTTGTGATTTTGGCCTGTATTCCCCCTATATAACTCTTCTTTTTTCAATTTAGTGGGAAGAAAACAAACAAAATACGCGTTTAATTCATACATATTTGCATCTGTTGTTTTCGTGTACACGTCTTTAGTAGCCATTTTCTCAAATGTAATATTTTTCTTGTGCAGAGATTCAGAAATCATCACTTCAGTAGTTTTCAGATCATGATACACCAAACATTTACAGTTTTACAATAATTTAAGAAAACAAATCATTGAATATTTAATTAGATAATTGTGTGGTTTACAGTGCTGACAACAATGCAAAAAACAACAACAGTAAATCTACATGAATTACAGCTTTTGAGAACAATGAATACATTTTGTCAACCTATTTTTAAAAGTTATGATAGTTCAACAAAAAAAAAAATTATCTCTTCATTGACCATTAGTTTTTTTTTTCTATTGAACACAGAAGAAGATATCTTGAAGAATGTTGAAAAGCCCTTGACTATTTGTTTTTTTTACGGTCGCTGAGAGAGTCTAACATGCTGCAATTAAAGAAAAAAGGCAGCAAATTGAGAAAAAAAATCTTCATCTGTTAAATCCAAATTTTTAAAAAACACGCTACATTCACTCACAACGCAAACAAATTATGAAAACCCTCAGCATTTTCTCACAACACTTTCAAATAGCACAGAACAAAACAGAAATGTTTCAAGGGGACCGTAAAACATGATAGACCCGGCAATTTAGGTTATGGTTATTTAGGCCAATAAAATACAAAAGCAAAGAGAATCAGGATGTTAAAACAAATAAACAAAAAAAAAAAAATCACCTTTTAAATATCACCAACAACTTCACAGAGCAAAAGTCACGGCACAGTTTTAGGGTCCACTCGAAACATTTCCGTTGTGTTCTGTGTCATTTGAAAGTGTTGTGAGAAAATGCAGCATGTTTTCGTAAATTGTTTGCGCTGTCAGAAAATGCAGCACATTTTAATAATTTATTTGCGTTTTAAGAAAATGCAGCGTGTTTTCGTAAATTGTTTGTGTTGTGAGAAAATGCAGTATTCTGAAAAATGTAAAAAAAAAATTTGTGTGATAGTAATAACGGCAGCAAAAGAGAGAATAACATCAAATTCACTGTCCTGTCCATAAACACTGCATTACAAACCTCTCACATAAGCAGTTTTTTGATGCAAAGATGATATAATACATACGTAAATACACATACATACATTAAAAGAAAGAAAAAAACAAATATATATATATATATATATATATATATATATATATATATATATATATATATATATATATATATTATTTATATATTTATATATATACAGTTCAAGTCAGAATTATTAGCCCCCCTCTGAATTATTAGCCTCCCTGTTTATTTTTTTCCCCCAATTTTTGTTTAACATTGAGCAGATTTTTTCAACACATTTCTAAGCATAACAGTTTTATTAACTCATTTCTAATAACTGATTTATTTTATCTTTACCATGATCACAATAAATAATATTTGACTATATATTTATAAGACACTTTTATACAGCTTAAAGTGGCATTTAAAGGCTTAACTAGGTTAATTAGGTAACTAGGCAGGTTAGGGTAATTAGGCAAGTTATTGTATAATGATGGTTTGTTCTGAAGACAGTCTGGAAAAAAATAGCTTAAAGGGGCTAATCATTTTGACCTTAAAATGGTTCCTAAAAAATTAAAACTTCTCTTATTCCAGCCGACATAATACAAATAAGACTTTCTCCAGAAGAAAAAAATATCAGACACACTGTGAAAATGTCCTTGCTCTGCTAAACATCATTTGGGAAATATTTTAAAAAGAAAAAAAAATCAAAGGGGGGCTATTAGATCTGACTTTAACTGTATGTATATATATATATATATATATATATATATATATATATATATATATATATATATATATGTATATATGTATGTATGTATATACACTCAAGGATTTATGATGCTCATTTCACAGTCTTGTGAAAAGGGTCCAATATACACATGAATTGTTAAACACTTGTGACAGGAAGGTCATCATCAGACATGTTGCAATTTTGGGTAAGCCAACAGTCATATTATGTATTACATAATATTTCAGCAGTAAAAATAGCAATACAAACGTGAACTTGACAGATTTTTAAATAAGGCAGAAGTTTCTACGTTGAGGTTAAATTTACTTTCCCAAAACAGAAGCTTCCATCAGGTTTTCAGGAAGATGTAGGTTTTTCAGATGAGCAGGACAGGAAGGATTGATTAGGGCATTTGTTTTCTTTTACTCATCAAGATTTTGGTAAACATCTTCATTAGGCTGTACGTTTTCATGACCTTTCGGCTTTAGGGAAGATTGAAAATATAAGTTAGCAATTAGCATTTAAAAGAATTGATCAAACATGTCAGCAAAACTCCTCCGATAGGGAGGCAGATCAGTCTCAAAAGAATACATTTATGAAATAAAATTATACATGCACAGCACAGATTACATGTACAAAATCCAATTTTTAAATACAAATAAATACAAAAACACAATTTATAAATTCACAGGTAAAAATAATGGACATTTTTGCTTTGAACTTACAAATTGGATTTGTGTATTTTGGTATTGTGTTTTTAACTTACGAATTGGATTTGTGTATTTTTGAATCAGTTTTGAACTTATGAATTGGATTGGTGTATTTACGAATTTACGTGTTTTGTGACAATGTGTTGTGGATGTATGAATTATATTTTGTAAATGTATTATATTTTCCAATAGGATGCTCAGCACAAACAACCTATGCGCATTTGCTTAAAATCTGCGTGCGTTGTTTAAAGGAATAGTCTGCAAACCTTGTCTTGGGGATCTTTGTAGTGCGTCTGTATTTTGCCATGTTTTGGTAAGTTCCTCTTGTACAGTTCTTGCACCACTCCACTGAAAAGCACTTGCTTAGAAAAATCCTTTTTAAAAGACAAACACTTGTTAATATTAAGCAGTGCAGATGATTTTAACATTGAAAATGGTAGGAAATGTTTCTTGAGCAGCAAATCATGGTTATAGTGGATTTTTGAAAGATCACGTGTCATGATGCGAAAATGCGAATAATAATAATTTACATTTTCAAATGTACATGCATAGAACATTATGTTAATTCTGAATAATATTTCATAATTATACTGCATTTTTAGTTTCTTTTTTTTGCAGGGTTGTCAAACATTAGATTTTCAAAAGCATTATAAAATCAGATCAACCCCAAAGTTAAAAAAAAAAAAAAAAAAAAAAAAAAAAAAAAAAAATATATATATATATATATATATATATATATATATATATATATATATATATATATATATATATATATATATATATATATATATATATATATATATATATATATATAATTTTTTGTTTCTTTTATATATTATTTTACTTTTATTTTACAGAACAAAATTAATACCTTGTTCTCATTTTTGCCCAATCTTCTTTTGAAGACTGATTTGAACTGTCCAGTCTGTGGATAAAAAAAATACATTTATACAAAAAATAATTTCATTTCTGTGAAACTTCATGACTGCAGCTGTGTTACAAAACTGACCAAATGTTTGGAAATATTATATTTTCAAAATGCTTTTCACAAAAACTGTGCTGCTTCATATATTTGTGAAAACGGATATTTTAATATTCAGAAATAAGTACATTTCCCAATTTCTTACAATAATATGAAGTAGAAAAAAAGTTTATCAACATTGATAACAAAAAGAATCAGTGTTAATAACAACACCAATGATTATTGATTTATTGACACTATTATGGTTGCTCATATTTGAGCGGCAAATCAACATATTAGAATGAGTTTTAAAGGATTGTGTGGCACTTGAAGACTATATAATAACCATGATAGGAAAAAATTACATTTTAATATTTATTAACATAGATTTCAGCTTTGGTAAGCCAAAGAGACGTCATTCAAAAACATTAACAAATCTTAATGTTTACAAACTTTTGACCAATCTCTTAGCAACTTAACAATCGCTACATGTTTTCAATACACAATTATATAAGCATTTATCAAACATAATTTTCAAATTTTAACTCAGGGTGGCACAGTGGCTCAGCGGTTAGCACTATTGCCTAACAGCAAGAAGGTCGTTGGTTCGTTTCTGTATATAGAGTTTGCATGGTCTCCCTGTGTTTGCGAAAGTTTCCTCCGGGTGCTTCGGCTTCCCCCACAGTCCAAATACATGTGTTATTGGTGAATTAAATAAACTTAATTGGCCGTTGTGTTTGAGTGTGTGTGTGTGTGTGCGTGTGTGTGTGTGTAAGAATGTGAGAGCTAAATTGGCCTTAGTGTGTGTGTGTGTGTGTGTGTGTGTGTGTGAGAATGTAAGAGTGTATGGGTGTTTCCCAGTACTGGGTTGCAGCTGGAAGGGCATCAGCTGTGTAAAACATATTCCGGAATAATTGGCGATTCATTGCTTTTGTGGCGACCCCTGATAAATAAGGGACTTAGGCAAAGGAAAATGAATGAATCTAAATCTGAAAGTTGAGTGTAAGTTAAGGGGGTTAAGAACAGGTGTGTATTGTAACTTGAACTGTACCTTTATGCAAATAAGGATTCCCAGGATGAGCAAACTGTACACCGATAACAGGACTAGCAGTGCAACCAGCAATACTTGACCAGTGGTAAAGCCTTGCTCTGGATAAAAAACACAGAATTTTAAGAACAAGAATATTCAAATAATGTGCTGATACCCTTTTCCTACGACCCATGAAGCTTTATGTGAATTATGGTAGTAACTTGTTTAAAACTGTAAACTTAAATGAAGTATTTAACAAAAACTGTTCTCATTTCCTTTATTAAAAGAAACTTAAAAACTTAAAAATGAATAAGCCCAGAAACTCAAAGCAAGTCTTTCTACAAACATATTATGGACTTGTTGTGTATTACTGAACTGTAAGGAAGACAATGCGAAAATAAACTGGAGGAAAAAAACACAGTGAACCAAAAAGAGCTTTGCCCATGCATCTCTAATACTAATTTCACATAAAATCACCAGCCATAAAGTTATTTCTTTAAAGCAGATTAAAATAACACACACATAAAAATGTATGCTCACTCAATTTTCACTACACTGTAAACAAATGTAATGACAAAAAGTCAACACAACAAATATTTTTATGTTGCTTTAACTTATTATAAGTTAATCAGGTTTCAACTAATTGTTTTTAAAGTTATACAAAGTTTGACTTAAGATTTTTAGTCAGTTTGATTGATGTAAGTTGAGATGACTAAAATTTGATTCAGCTAAAATATTTAAGGCAGCTAGAATTGTAGTTTACATACAGATATGGATTAATTGTAATTAGGGCTGGATGTTTAATCAAAATAAATTTGCAAAGCCATTCTACCAAAGCTGCGACTGTCCTGCACATATTGTCAGCGAAGATCAGTTCTATAATCAGTAGTAAATCTGCTCCGATAAGCCAAAGGGCGCTCTCACACTGAATCTACAAACACCTATAAAGAAAAAATCCAGGAAATCCCCATAGCTTTGCATTATAAACAGATGATTTAACTGCCTTCATTGATTCAGCATATAGGAAACACAGGACAGGACTAAGAATGAATTAAATGGATTTTTGATGTATGGCGCGTAGGGGATGACGTCAGTACGTAATAACCGGTTATGATCTATTACTGAACCGATATCAATAATTTTGTCTCCCCTAGTATCGAGTAACAATGCAGCACATAAAAAATCTATGGAGTAAGAGTCTTAAATTCATGGAAAATATGTACTGAAGTAAAAGTGGAAGTAGGAGAAAAAAACAATACTCCAGTAGAGTACAGATACAGCCTTTTAGTACTTGAGTACAGTAGTGAAGTAGTTCTACTTCGTTACTAAACATCTCTAAGCATGACTAATAAACACACAACATGACTAAGGAATCATCTTACAGAAGTATTTATTTCAGACACTCGACTCGACTCGACTGAAGTTCCGAAGTGTGTTTGGAGTAAAAACGTTATTATAAGTGGTCATCTCATGAGCTTTCAGATGTAGCAGCATTTACCCGCAGTTCACTGAGAAACTATGCAGACTCCTGTCATTATCACAAAATGATTCTCTCGATTTCAGTATTAAATCGATTTGATTTTGAACTTGATTTTGCCGAGCTTGTCAGTAAGCTATGATCCTGTAAATGCTGCTACATCTGTGTAACCTCGGGGAGTGACACTAACAACAGAAGTTTGGATCCACATGCAGGTTTATTCAAAGTCAGGCAAGCAAAGGTCAGCACAGGTGCAAACATATATACAAGGGAAGTCCAGAATCGTTGTCAAAGTATCAGGCGAGTGGTCAGAAGGCAGGCGGCAGACTAAGACGAAAAGGTTAACAAGGCAAGGTTGAAAACACAAGAAAACTAGGAAAACGCGTCATAGTGTTTCTATACAGATAACAAGACTCGGCAATGGGAGTGAGTGAGTGTGCTGCTTAAATAGTGTGTGCAATCAGTCTCTGACAATTCCTCAGGTGGTGCGAGTAATCAGTCTAGATGAGGAAGCATGTGTGAGTGTGACCGGAGTGCATGTATGAAAATGTAGTCCAGAAATGGCGAATTTGTAGTCCATAAGTTATAGTAAGTGAAATCCAGCGATCTTATGGAGTACGATCGCTGGTATCATGACAACCTGAAAGCACATGATGGAGGTTTACAATATCTGGCTTTACTGACAAAATGCACATGAAACCCACCTTCAATTATCTCGTGTAATCTTATACTTAGTTCCAGTTCTTTTAAAAGAAATTCCCCAAGCTGGACGTGCAACACAGAGTTTGAAACACGTTAGGAAACATTGGGACAGTTCTTACCTGAGACTTTGAGAGTGGTTCCCTTTCCGATGGCCTGCGCCCCTTCATTCGTGTGCCCCGACAGAGCCGCAGCACAATAATAAACCCCGCAGTCTGCTTTTGACAGAGACTGAATTGTCAGATCCCCCTGATGCAGGGTGAACTTCTGTGGCTGAATGATCAGATTGATTTGGTAGTGTGAATCTTTCTTGAACACAAACCAGGAGATTTGAGGGTTGAGATTCAGGCAGGATGTGTTGACGGAGCAGGGAATGGAGACGGATTGTTGCTCAGTTTTTCTTATCAGGCTCTTTGACTGTTGGACATCAACCCTACATTCGTTCGCTGTGGACATTCACAATTTAATGTTAACATTTACACCGAACATTTAAGATCAGGCAAAACACTTATAACTGTTATAAATTCACTGTAAACCAAGGCTTGACTTGGCTTATTGCCAAAATAAACCAAAGTAAAACATAAAGTCTCAGGCTGCGTCTGATTTTGCCTGCTGCTCGATTAGGTACTCTATTTGAATTGAATTACTACACGACTATTAGAAAAGTACAGTATGAATGTAAGTAGTATGAATTGATTGATGTCATTTAATTTGATTCAGCAAAAATATTTAAGGTAGCTAGAATTTTAGTTTACATTGTACAGATATGGATTATTTGTAATTAGGGCTGGGTTATTAAACGAAATATATTTGCAAATGGAAACATCATTGGCAAAAGTTATGATTGTCCTGTATATCTTGTCAGTAGCTATGTTTCCATCCACCAATTTTATGCGCATTTTGCAAAAAAAAAAAACATACACAATCTTATTTTAAAAACGTTGTGTCTTTCAAAAGTGCAAAATCAGCCATCTTCAGCAGTAACATGGCTGTAAGCGCTAACTTTTGGGAAATATAGTGAGAGGAAATAGTGAGCTCCCATTGCTGTTGGAAAAACGTTCTGTTGGAGTCAATGGAGTTGTCGCAACTCTTTCTCTCTCTCTCTCTCTCTCTCTATGGCTCTGTTATATAGTTACGTCCTAATTAACTCACTATGCATCCAAAATCTACTACTTAAAAAAAGTACAACTCGAGTAGGTACTACATATAAATTTGAATTTACTTCACGACCAACAGAAAAGTGTGCTCTATATAGTATGAACGAGAGTGTTATGAATGGGATTTGAACGTATATCCACCATTTATCATTGTTTTCAAATACTATGAATTCGGACATATTTCTCGGCACTTGTGATTGAACTATGTGATCAGTACTTATAATTGAGTGGTTGCCAAGCAACAATAACTCGTACAGTATATAGCAGAGCAAAGGAGAAAGAGTTGCGACAATTGAAGTCGTCCTGTGTCTCCCTCTACAGTTGCTTCGGGTTTCCCCCACAGTCCAAAGGCATGCGCTATAGGAGAACTGAATAAGCTAAATTGGCCGTAGTGTATGAGTGTGAGAGGCTATGGGTGTTTTCCAGTACTGGGTTGTGACTGGAAGGGTATCCGCTGCAAAAAACATGCGCTGCAACAGTTGGCGGTTCATTCCGCTGTGGCGACCTCTAAAATAGAGACTAAGCTGAATGAAAATGAATGAATAAACGAAAAAATGACTGCTATGATCATCACTTTAAACACCCTGAAATGATGAGCTGATTTCTGTCATGCTCACACTACAATGTATTGTCTGACTTCTTAAGCAAGGGTCTTCTTGTTTTAGGATTTATTACCATATTGTCTGCATAACTTCATCTTTTTTTTGGATAATGTGTTTTAAAATCTGCTGTGTATATTTACAATGAAGCAACAAAATCAGTGCATTCAATGGCTTCTTTAAAATAATTTCTTTTTAACTTGATTTTAGTCACTAAAGTATTTTATTTATTTTTTGCTCTGCTGCCTCAGTAAGCAGTGTAAGTTGCATTTTGTTTTTATGCTATTTAGAAAGCAACCTGCTTAATTATTCTAAACATAATCAATAATTGATTGTAAATAGATCTCTTTTTACGCGGTAAAAAGACATACTTATGAGGGATATACGATCAGGACGAGCATAACACTCATTTGTTAATTTGTTTTGCTTTTCTTGTCCTCATTTGCAAGTCGCTTTGCATAAAGCATCTGCCATAAGTAAATAAATGTAAAGATAAAGACGTGTGGTATTTCCCTAAAAGCTGAACCTCTGCTTACCTGAGTTGAAAGTGAAGAATATGATGATGATGATGATGGTAAAGGGGAAAGTGATGCCACAGGAATGTGTGACTCCTCTTCCTTTCATTAATGTCTGTTTTTGATTGTTTTTCATCTCGCTAGACATCGGAAACACAGTTATCTCGCCTGAAACTGAAATGACAAACCACATGCAAAAATGAGAAGTAAGACAGGCCCTCCCCTCACTTCTTCCTTCCTTGTGAGAAAGTGTTTGTCATCATTTACTGCAACACTGGTGTAATGGGCTTAATGTTCTACCATATATGGTTAATGTAAGGAAAATTATTTGTTTTAGCAAAGAAGTAAAAAGTAAATAAATAATAATATTTAATAACATGTGGCTGCACGATGGCGCAGTGGGTAGCACGATCACCTCACAGCAAGAAGGTCGCTGGTTCGAGCTTCGGCTGGGTCAGTTGGCGTTTTTATGTGAAGTTTGCATGTTCCAGTTTGCTCCAGTTTCCCCCACAAGTCTAAAGACATGCGGTAAGCTACAGGTGAATTGTGTAAGCTAAAATTGTCCGCAGTGTAAGAGTGTTAATGAGTGTGTATGGATGTTTCCCAGTGTTGGGTTGCAGCTGGAAGGGCATCCGCTGATTAAAACATATTATGGATAAGTTAGCAGATCATTCCTCAGTAGTGACCCCAGATTAATAAAGAGACTAAGCCGAAAAGAGAATAAAGGAATATAATAACATTTTTATAGATTTCTTTCTCATGAAAACCCATCCAGAGTAAAACAAAATCAGCCTGATCAGAAGTAATTTACGTTTTGTCAGTTTTGTGGCTAATTTGTAAGTTCAGTCTTACGAAAATATACAACCATCATTGGGTGATGAGCAAATCGTACTAAATTGTACGAATTAGATCATACGAATTAGCCACTAAATGAAAAAGTTACGAATTGCTGTTAGATTGCATTAGAATATCTAGAGTTCAAATATATTCAAATTTTGTTATTGCATTATTAATTCCATACAATTGCAACAGAAAAAAAATCTACATTTGCAGTTATTACCAAACTAATAACAAAATAATAATACATACCCCTTTTGTGCTGTTGGGGATGTTTTCATCTACTCTGGCTTGAGTTTGAGTCTTAATTTGGCCACAAATTTCTCTGTGTTTCAGCAAACTGATATGAAATATCAGTGTATGTAATGTGGATATGTAATTCCAACACATATTTTGGGAAAATGCTTTGAAATTTTTCAAAAATTCAATAATAGACTCTGCTGGTATGTTGGTGGCTGTTATTGCCCCATTAACTTTAATTATATCGACCTTTTTTTCAATAGAATCTGGATGCAGCCTTTATGATACAAGCTGAGATTGCACCTTGTGACATCATTGTGAGGGGTAGGGTTAAGGCTGGGGTAAGCAGAGCGCATTAAAAAGCATTGGATGCAGCTCAGATTGCATTTGCACCAAGTCTGCAGCCAGGCCCCTTTTACATTTTTAGATTAGAAAGCATGTACATAATCTTATGCTCTTGCCTGCTGCTGGGATTCCCTTTTGGGAAGAGGTAGAATGAGTCATTTGAATTAGTCATTTTACAGTTGCTGTATAAAAAAAGCTTACTTTCTTGACCTAAGATCATATATGTGTGTTTGTGTGTGTGTGTGTGAGAGAGAGAGAATGTGAGAGTGTTTGAGAAAATAAAAAATGACAAGCTAATCTTTTATTCATCCATTTTCTCTCGCCTTAGTCCCTTTATTCATCAAGGGTTGACTGGAATTAACCGTTAACTTATCCAGCATAGGTTTTACACAGCGGATGCCCTACTGGGAAAAATCCATATTCTAAGCTCTTTGCTTCCGCTATAGCAGCAGATCAGCTTTACAAACAATAACAAATCTCTCTTGTCTGTTAGCTTGTGCTTACCGTTGCTATGGTGATTCAGTGTTTGCAAGGGAATGCAGAGATGTAAGTTGTTATATTATGAACAGTAGAAAACTATTAGATTTATTTCTTTTAGTGTTTTAAATGCGTGTTAGCTGTGAAATATTACCATTAATAAGATGCTGAAATGATTTATATCATATATTTTCATTGAAGGATTGAGAGAAAAACAAGATTTGTATCTGAGAGTGAAATCTGCGCACGAGTGCCACCTGGAGTTTTCCTGGTTTTTTGCTTTGATTTTGAATGATTTCCTTGGTGAGTTCGTGTTTTTTTAAATTGTTTTCATTATAACAAGATTGAAACTAGTGACAAAAATGTGTTTCATTATTCCTTTGTTTGGTCTAGTAAAAATCACAACAATGTATATGAGAGTGAAATAAAAACAAAAACAGCAGTAATTATTGTGAAATGTTTGTGTGTTACACAGTATTATACAAGTGATTGTGTAAAGTTTAAGTGAGAGAATCTAAGTAAAATGATGTCATTTGTAAAAATTAATGCCAAATAAGAGTAAGAAATAGAAAAGACAGAAATTCAGCATAGAGAAGAATACATGGTTATTTATTGTTGCTGTTTAATTATAAATGTGTTAAGCTGAGATAATGCATCCACTGTAAAATGCTAATGGTTCATTTGGCCTTGTGTTTTCAAGGCCAGGTTTTTTGCTTGTTTGTTTGTTTAGTTTTGTTTGTTTGTGCATCTTCTTCTGGTGAGATGTTCTATTGACGTCAGTTGCTGAATGTGATCTGCTCTGGATTCGACTTGATTGAGGTGTGAACTCTTTTCCTGGATTGTGGATTGTCTCAACTTTCATCTGTGTGTGTCTAATTGTGGAGTTGGACTGGCGAGCCTCCCGTTAAGTGGATTCTTCGTATACACCTGTCTAAAAGATTCAAAGTAGAACTTATTCAGCGTCATGTTAGGAGTGTAAATTTTACAACACACTCACAAGTTCAACATCCTGGATTTCTGGAACTAAATTTGAAATCTAGTTGTGTTGCGAAGGAATCATTTTCAATGTTCATCACCTGTGCTCTATTTTTGGGACATTTTGAAATCTTTTAAGTAAATGTTTTACTTTCATTTTTATTTAATTTGTACATTGTTTCATTAGAGTGTTCATTCTTTGCAATTTTCGAAACTTTATTGAAAGAAGTTCATTGGTTTAAGAAGGAAAATTTTAAACATATGTTGAATGATAAAACAGTTTTAATATTATATTACTAACTTTCATAAACCTTTAAAATAATATTGTTATTAGTATATTAGTTTTATATTATTGTTTATAATAGTAACCAAAATATAATATTAGATCTTAACAATAGAAAAACTGAAAAATATAACATAATATTACTTACCTTATTAGTGATACAGCCATAAATCCCTGTGAAGAAAGAGAAAAGAGAGTGAAGAGAGTGTTATTAGAGAGTGTAAATAAGACTGAGGTCATTAGATAAGTGTGAAAAAAGCCTAGAACTTGTTTTATTTTTATTTATTTGATTTTATATTTCTGTAAAATTTTTACACTACAGTTATTATTCTTACCTTACCTCTGTGAGTCCTTCACTGTTGTCGTATCTTCTCTCTCTGGAGGAATTTAGACTTCTGAGCATCTGGTCTATTGATTTACAGCTTATAATACATTTGTGTATCGAGGTTATCATAGAGCTTCATAGGTGCACTATTTAATTCAACAAAACTTTTCTTTAAAAAAAACATTACATTTAAAAATATTTATTGTCATGTCTCTAAAATATATACAGTAATCTTTCCTGTCTAAAAGTCCCAGATCACTATAGTTAACTACACATAAACGTGGAGTAATCTAATATTAAAGCAATGTTGTAAAAAAATGATAATGAAACCACATTAACAAAAATAACTAAGCAAAAGAAAGCAGGTGAAACATACCGTGCACATGGTTAATGTTAGGGTGACGCAGTAGCACAGCAGGTAGTGCTATCGCCTCACAGCAAGAAGGTCGCTGGTTTGAGCCTCGGCTCAGTTGGCGTTTCTGTGTGGAGTTTGCATGTTCTCCCTGCGTTTGCGTGGGTTTCCTCCGTGTGCTCCGGTTTCCCCCACAGTCCAAAGACATGCGGTACAGGTGAATTGGCTAAATTGTCCGTAGTGTATGAGTGTGTGTGTGTGTGAATGAGTAAGTGTTGATGTTTCCCAGAGATGGGTTGCGGCTGGAAGGGCATTCGCCGCGTAAAAACATGCTGGATAAGTTGGCGGTTTATTCCGCTGTGGCAACCCTGGATTAATAAAGGGACTAAGCGACAAGAAAATGAATGAATGAATGAATGAATGAATGAATGAATGACGGTTAATGTTAGGCCTGTTAATAATCTCTTCTAAAAATAATTCAAATGAAAACAGTGACTGCTGCTGCTTACAAAAGAATATGTGTACTTTTTAAAATCTTGAGCTCTTGAAAGCAGCAGGACTGTGGGTGCACGATCATCGCTTTGTCCAGTCTATTTCTAAGGGAACCTATCGCACAGTTGCGCTTCCTCTAGGCACGGTTGCTTTGCGCAAGTAAACGGGAGCGCGCGCGCGCTTTTTAACAGTCACGCGTATCACATCAGCAGTTGGCGCGAGTGATCATGCTCTCATTCTGTATTCACCTGTATTCTTTTGCTTGCGCGAAGTTATTTTTGTCAGTTGTACTGCTTCTGGATTCTAATATCACATTTGCTCGAATATTGGGCCATGTTTATTGTCAAACCCTGCTCAAATCAAATCGAATCAAGTAGTTTTAATAAAACTACAATTTAAAAATGATTTCCAACCAGCCAAAGTGGCTGGTGGAGGTGTCTGTCCCCGCCAGAGCTGAAATCTACTAATTTGGCGGGTGTTAATGTAAAGCCCTGCTTACAACAATACATATATTTTTTCAAATAACAATTAAAGTGTATATTTATGCATAACATGTTACTTCTCCGCAAAAATATACACTTAATAATGTACAAAACACAAAACAAAAACTAGCATTTTAGGATTTTTCGTCAAATTTTAGCGGGAGTGGCCAGACTCGACGCGTCGGTCCCTGGTCGGTCCCAATGGTCCGCATACAACTACTCCTCCCAGCATTCATTGCGGGTTCGCAGTTGGCCACGTCACGTCCACCGGCCACGTCGCCCCTCGTTCGCCATATTTCGTGGAGGAATGATCTGGAGGAGAGCGGCACTGAGCCGGTTTACACATTTCACACTCACCGCGAGCTCTCTTCACCGCCACTGAAAGCCGCCCGAGAGGGAAAAAAACACCATGAATATCTTTCGGCTGACCGGGGATCTGTCTCATCTTGCCGCCATCATCATCCTGCTGCTCAAGATATGGAAAAGCAGGTCCTGCGCAGGTCAGAGCAACTCAACAGCTACAAAAATAACATTTCCTCGCGTTTCTCTGATTTAAAGTGTGTGTTTTAAAAAGAGAGAAAATACTGTAGCCTGAAATATGATGTCCTGAAAGCCCATGTTATCTTTTTTATGCAAACACGAAGCGATAAATGAAGTACAATTTGTGTAGCATGTAAGCTAGTGGGTTAGCTAGAGTTATAAGCTGATGAAGTCTTGTCAGTTGGTTCAATTGAAACGCAAATTTGAAGTCTAATAGACTAAATATGGATTTACGATATTAAATGTATCGTGTTTTGACTGCTAATGTTGTGCAAGTGTGTGACTGTATTCATGTTCTTGCTGAAGTGACAGAAATGGCTAAAAACTTTAGGCCTAGTTACTAATTGCAGATCAATTATCAGTGTAAGTTACATCAGATCAGATCAAACATCAGTATTTGTGCATCTATCTATCTATCTATCTATCTATCTATCTATCTATCTATCTATCTATCTATCTATCTATCTATCTATCTATCTACAATCTCGTCATCAACGTAACTAATTACGCTAAATTAGTATGCAGAAGACATGTTGCATCTAAAAAAATATTTGCATTGTGAGAAAAAAAGTGCATTTTATTGTGTTGGAAGTGAAATTCGTCCATGTCAAATTATTTATGCATATCCAAAGTGCATTGCGTTACTTGGATTGACGTGGCAGGTCGGTCGTCCTCATACACTGACATCAAACTTGCTCTGAGAACCTAAATGCAACTCTTTTGCTAAGTTTACTGTGAGTTTAAAGGGATAGTTCACCCCAAAATAAACCGTTTCCAAAATTTTGAGTTACTTTCACTAAAGCAGATATTGTGAGAAATGTTGGAAACCGAAAACTACTGACTTCCATTTTAGGAAAAACAATTACTTTGCAGCATTTTCTCTAGCATTCTTCAATATATTTTTATATTTGTGTGTTTTTAACTGAAGAAAGAATTTTGTAAATATTTGAAACAAGTAAAGCTTGAGTAAACAATGACAATTTTAGCTTTTGGGTGAACTATAACTCTTTAAGGCAATTACTTTGTGCCCTCAGGTATCTCTGGGAAGAGTCAGATACTCTTCGCCTTGGTGTTTACCACAAGATACCTGGATCTCCTGACGTCCTTTATTTCTCTTTATAACACTTGCATGAAGGTAAACCGACATTTACCTGCACACACAAACATATATTTGGTTGGTAAATCAATGATTTGCCACACGTGAGTAAGCAGTTTGTATTTACGCTGACCTTTTATGTGTAATCAATGTTTTGTGTCTGTTCTGTTAATCAGGTCATCTACATTGGATGTGCCTATGCCACAGTCTACCTGATCTATGCAAAGTTCAGGGCAACCTATGATGGGAACCACGACACTTTCAGAGCAGAGTTTCTGGTGGTTCCAGTGGGAGGTCTTGCCTTTTTGGTCAACCATGACTTCTCTCCACTGGAGGTGATTATTAGACTCTGGACATTTGGTGATTTGACTATCAGTATGTGTTTAGACTAGGGCTGCACAATATTGGTAATCTCAGATATTGTGATATTTTATCTATCTGCAATAAATATTGCGACATGAATACGGTTTCATAAGATTATTTGATGATTTTAAGTGTATTCAGGTACAGAAATTGAATATTCATAATGCAAATAGATGCTTTTCTTACTTTGTTACTTTACTTACTTTACTTTGCTTTTTAAAACAAGTACAGTTATTTGCCAGTGGGGTAAGTAAAAATATATATATATATTTTACTTAAAAATGTAGATATTTGGGCAAGAAACAAGAGAATTTTAAGAAAGAAACAGTAGTTAAATGCAGTTCTGTAGCTCCTGGTCAACTATAATCCAGACTCAACATTGCATGTCTTGCAATGTGACTATTGCAGATGCACACATTACGATATACATGCAGAAACGATATATTGTGCAGCCCTAGTTTAGCCTTTGTTTAATTTTTTTTAAATGTCATTAAATTATCAGGATTTTCTTGGACAGACACATTCATGCTAAGCAGAGCCTTCCCCCCCCATACATTAGAATGTTACACGTACAGTTGAAGTCAGAATTATCAGCCCCTCTGAATTATTATCCACCCTGTTTATTTTTTCCCCCTCATTTTCTGTTTAACAGAGAGAGAAAATTTTTTTTCAACACATAACTAAAAATAATTTTAATAACATTTCTAATAACTGATTTATTTTATCATTGCAGATTAGGGGAATTAGGCCAGTTATTGCATAATGATGGTTTGGTCTGTAGACTATCGAAAAAATATATAGCTTAAAGGGACTAATAATTTTGACCTTCAAATGGTGTTTAAGAAACAAAAAACTGCTTTTATTCTAGCCAAAATAAAACAATTAAGACTTTCTCCAGCAGAAAAATATCAGACATACTTTGAATATTTCCTTGCTCTGTTAAACATCATTTGGGAAATATTTAAAAAAGAAAAAAATAATTCAAAGGGGTTTAATAATTCTAACTTGAACTGTTTGTTTTATTTAACACATCCACAAAATGTGATTGACACCATCTCCTAACAACATGCAACATGACAAGATTCCAGCGACAAGCAATTTGTCTGTCGGCAGCAGACATGACATTACAGAAACATTTAAATACCCGTTACATAATGTGAGTGCAACAAAAGTTTAGATGGCAAACATTTTATCAGTCACATAAAAAGAATCAAGTAATGACACATGGATTTAAGATATTGAATTTAACATGTTTTGACAGCTAATGTTGTGCAAGCTTGTGACCGCTTTTATATTCATGCTGAAGTGACAGAAATGGTTAAAAACTTCAGGCCCAGTTAATTATTGCACATCAGTTATCAGGCTACATCAGATCAAATAGCAGTAATAATGTTTCTATGTAAATATAGTCTTGTCATTAACATAATTAGGCTAAATTAGTATGCAGAAAACGTGTAAACATTTAAACACCCGTTACACGGTGTGTGTGTGTGTGTGTGTGTGCAAGAAGTTTAGATGGCAAATATGTTGTCAGTCACATATAAATAATCATTTAATGACATAAAACGGTCTGTCCCAGTGCAGCTGTAAAATATTTAGTAATTGTCATTTAAAATGGTTTTATTTTGCTAGTGTGCATGAATCAAAAAATGCACACATATTAAATGATAATGGAGCAATATTTCACCCATCTTGATATTTTATTTTAACGTAAATTATATGAAATATTAAAGATGGTATAACTAAATAAAATGATTTTTATTATTTGTAAGTCAGTGTGATGCTGAAACCAACAAAATATTTTTGATGGACATGTATACATTTGTAAATAACTAAGGGTGTCATTTGTACGGATCACAACCCATAGTTCGGAACACACGTGACCTGCGGATTTTTATTTTTTTACTTGATTAATCCTAGATATGTAATGATTGAAAAGAGATCGCCTCTCGCATTACTCAATTTACATGTATGTAAGCATTTAGGCTTTCCTGTAAAATATAATGAAGATGGAAGAAGTTGTGGAAGGTTATTTAGGATGTGGTGGGTTTCTTAAGGTATTAAGTGTTTTCTGTCATTACTTAGCGATTCAGTTTTTAGTCTGAGTTAGTTATGAAATTACAAACAGTCAAAAACAGAAGTACTTTAATATCAGTTTACATTTTAATTAAAATCACTGATGTTTATGGTAAAGATTAAAATTAAACTTGACACTCAAATCAAAGTTGTATGCAGAAATGACATTATGTACCCAATGTATGGCAACAACCAGCCGTCAAAAATAATTCTTCAAAAATGATCCATCTATAAGTTTTATGAGTGAATAACAGAATCATTTATTGGAAATGAGACTAAAAATAAATATGGGTTGTACAAATTATTTTTTTAGATTTAGCATTGTCAGCAGGAGTAGTAGTAACAGTGAATTTTTCACAGTACTGAACATCTTCTTGCAGTGCTGTTTTTGTAATACATAGAAAGAAAAGAAAATTGGTGGTCTTCCTTTTTGGCTGATCCAAAAAAATTCCTGATCCATGACTAAAAAAAAAAAAAACAAAAAAAACAATGCGATCTGAACCTCAAGATTCATGATACGTTATAGCATTATAAATAAGGCATTAAATGAAATAATAAAAAAAGATAGCTATACACCTATTGTTCATGTTTTTCCTTCTAAAAATATTGCTGTGAAAAGGGGTGTTTAAGTGAAAGGTTTATTGAAATAATATTCATTATTTTGTGCACATTATTCCAAGCTAAATGATTTATGATAGATTTGTCCAAAATTTGCCAATGGTAAACATTCAAATAATAAATATGAAAAACAATAACATTAAAATAAGCTTATGGTGGTGTTAGCTAATGTAAAATGTTGCAGGTTATTCACCTTTTTGGATTATTTCTTTATATCGCAATAATGCGGTAACAAAAACAAAATATTAGTACACAAAAAAGAACCACCTTGGCCTGAAGTCAATGCATAATTTTCTGATTCTCACGGCAGATTCTGTGGACTTTCTCCATCTACCTGGAGTCGGTGGCCATCCTGCCTCAGCTCTTCATGATCAGTAAGACCGGCGAGGCCGAGACCATCACAACCCACTATCTGTTCTGCCTGGGGGTTTATCGCGCCCTCTACCTCTTCAACTGGATCTGGAGGTTCTACTTTGAGGGCTTCTTTGACATGATTGCCATCGTGGCTGGAGTCGTCCAGACGATTCTCTATTGTGACTTCTTCTACCTTTACGTCACAAAAGGTACATAAAATACACTTGCATCTTAGAAAGGCTGTGAAATACATTTTCTTTAGGGGTGATCTTAATCTGAAAATGAGGATGATATGAAAACTGATTCCGTTTACTTTCATAATACATATGTAACTGTTAAATCTGGACTTAAATAATGTATATACATTTTATAATTATTATTTTTAGATGGATTATTATTCAATTCCTTAGTTATTTATTAAAAGTGATTTAAGAGGCATACAATTAGGGTGTTGCACTAAAATAAATCGTTAAAGGTGCATTAGAATGCAAAAAAATGTCTGTTTTCTATGAAATGTTGGCTAAATTCTAGTTATATCTGACCCAAAATGTGTCGACAGATGTATTTAGAATAGTATTTTGTGGATTTAATGTGTATGACAACAAAAGCAGGAATTAAAATAAACCTCTGTCTAAAAAGATGAGTTTATCAAAGTCAGCTTTATTGTCAATTCATCCACATGTAAAGGTCATACAGAGAACCCAAATTAAATTGCATTACTTTCAGACTCTAGGTGGCAAGAAATGCAAACCAGATGCAAAACAGTATATAGTGCTAAAAAGCTTGTAAATATGATAGTGACAGTGCCTTTATAATATACAGGGAGGTAGTTTGAGGTAACTAGCAGTCCAATGTTACACAAAGTGACCGATGAAGACGTTCTTAAAATTATTGGTTTGCTCAGAAGTTTATAAAGTTATTGGCACCGTTTCACTCTAGAAAAATAACAGTAAGAGCAAAGTGATATGACACGATGCATAAATGTGCATTACATGCATATATTGCATAGTTTACATGTGTTTGTTGCCTCAAATGTACATTTTGCAAATTTTCGCAATATACATGTTAAACTAACCAAAGACATATTTAAACAGACCTTTTGCCTCTTCTGGGGTACTGAATAAACTTATTTGTCTTAGGATGAGCTGTAAACAGATAAGTCTCACAGCTTGGCAGGTCTGCCTTGCGCTTGGAAAGCCCATGCTGTCATGAATAATTAAGAAGCAGGGTTTTCTCATAGGATAAGAAATCTCCGCTATGAATAATATTGAGAAAACGACGCGTCCTCACTCCACGAGCAGATGAGCGCTACGTCACTGATTTTGATCCTATCCTAAAAATTATTTTAAGCCTGGAAGATGAAATTAGCAGACAAAAGCTCAAAATTATCCAGTCTTACACAATTAAAGCTAACAGGTGCTAACGTTGTCTTAAATGATGCTCAACACACACAAATCTGTTCATTAAAAAAAAAAAATACTCTTAAACATTTAAGTTGCCGTTTTTTGCAAACTTTTAAACTGAAATTACTAAAACTCATCTAAAATTTAAAACTAAAATCAAGATGAATTAAAATTTTTATATTTAAAATGATGTATAGTAAAAACTATGATGGATGCTGAAATCATGCTACATTTTACAAAGTAAAAATGACGTTATTAACCAAGAATTTAATTGATTTATTTTCCCGTTTCTATTTAGAATTTGAAACTAAAGATTTAAAAGATTTTGTTTTAATTGCAATGTAAATGTAGTCTTTTTTTTTTAACAGTGTGCTTTATTTACTAGGATACCATCAGTACATACATTATTTTAATTTTAAACACTTGTTAAGCTTCGGTTTGAAAGATTTGACTTTTTTTTTTTTAATTAATTTTTTTTTTTTTATTAAACATCTCTATATCTGTTCCACAGTGCTGAAAGGAAAGAAGCTGAGTCTACCAGCCTAAAGTGCCAAAGAACAGCGAGCTGTGTCTCAATCAGACTTATAGAGGGGGCAGAAACCAATGATGCCACTGCAAGATGCCCAAGACAAAGAACGCAGAACAACATGCCACATTTATTTCTCTCCGCCTGGACACCAACTATCCCCATACAGAAACCAGGACGTTTTCGAAAACTTTTCTTCTGTCTTTAAGCATCTTGCAATACATCTTTTTTTATTGCTTTCAAAATGAGAAAAAAAAGAAGAAATCTTTTCTATATGCAAGGTGTAATGAAATATTGAACGGTGTATTGTACACATTAACTCCTGTTAAATGCGCCATTTGTAAATTTTTCCATGATCGGTTCCCAGAGTGTCGAAAAAGTTTGTGGTTCGGGGGGGAAATGAAGTGCGTATGTTCAATACTTCAAATAATTATATCTCAGTCTTTCTTTTAACTTTTTTTTTTCTTTTCCCCTTAGCTTCAATGAGAGGTTTGGCTGCCACTTTATGCAGTCAGATTAGTCTAAAAAATAATTTATTTACAAAAAAGAATTGATACATGCACAGCACAATTCACATTTACAAAATCCAATTTATTAGTTCTAAACACGATTCAAAAATACACAAATCCAATTTGACATGATTCAGAAATGCACAAATCCAATTCGCTAATTTAAAACACGATTCAAAATTTAACAAATCCATATCGTAAATTAAAAACAATTCAGAAATATACAAATCCAATTCGACATAATTCAAAAATACACATCCAATTTGTAAATTCAAAACACGATTCATAAATACACAAATACAATTAGTCAATTCAAAACATGATTCATAATTTACAAATCTATTTGGCCAAAATATTTATGAGTTTTACTTGTGAATTCACAAATTGTGTGTTGTATTTATTTGTATTTACAAATTGGATTTTGTATGTGTGAATTGTGCTGTGCATGTATGAATCCTATTGCGTAAATGTATTATTTTTGAGACTGATCTAGCTCCATACCATTTTGTTTAAAAAAAAAAAGTCCTTGTCATCACATAAATGCCTTATTTTATTTCAGTTTCTGTACAGAACTACTTGTGTCAAAGCCCCCGTGATAAGAGTTGTAAATAAGAGGAACAATCCAGCACATTTCTCCTTGTGTGACCCACCTTTATTAATAACATGCTATTATTATTATTATAGTAAGGTTGTTTAAATATTCGGTTATTACCTGCAGACATCAGCTTGTTAAAATGCAGTAATTTATATATGGTATAAGAACATTAAATCTAGTGGTGTGGAAACTGTCAAAGCACATTTTGAAGTGAACATGAGTTTTGTAGCGTAGTTTTCATTTAATTTTTTTTTTTTTTTTTTTTACGCACTACAATTTTTCTTTTAATTTCAGCATCCCCAATGTTATCCCCTCTCGAGTCATTCCTGTAGGGTTTACAGTTATTTTTCTAGTTTTTACATGTCTCCCAATAAATATTTTAAGGGACACTATTTTGAGTTTTTTTTTTTTTTTACATTTGTGTAGTCAGTTGTCTAGTTTATGTTGACAACAATAAACATTCAAGTTTTCTTACATAAACTATAAAACAAACACCTTTAGAGTATTATTTGCATAAATAAAACTTTTGCAAAGTTCAAAAGGCAAATCATGTAAATATGAAAAATGCTGGGAAACATAAATAAGGAAAAGCTAATGAATGAAAAGAAACCGTTCAACAGTCTAATCTTTAAAATAATGTTAATATTATCTCTTGGTAATTATAGTTTTAGAATCTTCATGAATTATAAATATGGAAAAGAAATGAATGTTTCAAATAACTTGAGTGAAAATATAAGTGAAATTATGGTCTGTCGTTCAGCATAATTACTATATTACAGTAAAATGAACTGTTTCTGATGTATTTACTCATATAAAATGAAGTATTAATTTTGATTTGACTTTAAATTTTTCTAAACTTCATGCAGGCAGGAGGGTAAAACCTAGCAGTTTAAAAGATGTCCTCAAAGGAAGAAGGTTTAAAATTACAATTATCAAATATAAATTTCATAAATATAGATATAAATCTTGTAAATGCAAAAGTTACATCTTCATTTTTATAATTATTATTTGAATACGCTATTCATTGACGTATTTCACACTGATTATTTCATTTAAAAATTCACGTGATTTAGGCACGAGTAAACATTTTGACTAATGCCAATATTCGGATAAAATTAAGATAATGTCAATTTCAACACTTACAACTATTTATTTTAGAGATCAATCACAAAACAAAAAAATGTAAAAACAATTAAATTTTAAAACAAGTTAAATTAGCTAAAGGTTATATATATAATACACACACACTCACCGGCCACTTTATTAGGTACACCTGTCTAACTGCTCGTTAACGTAAATTTCTAATCAGCCAATTACACTGCAGCAAATCAATGCCTTTAGGCATATAGACATGGTCAAGAGGATCTGCTGCAGTTCAAACTGAGCATCAGAATGGGGAAGAAAGGTGATTTAAGTGACTTTGTACATGGCATGGTTTTTGGTGCCAGATGGGCTGGTCTGAGTAATTTAGAAACTGCTGATCTACTGGGATTTTCACACACAATCATCTCTAGGGTTTAAAGAGAATGGTCTCAAAAAGAAAATACCCAGTGAGCTGCAGTTCTGTGGGCGCAAATGCCGTGTTGATGTCAGAGGAGAATAATTAGTCTGGTTCAAGCTGATAGAAAGGCAACAGACACTCAAACAACCACTCGTTACAATCGAGAAATGCAGGAGAGCATCTCTAAACACACAACATGTCCTACCTTGAGGCAGATGGGCTACAGCAGCAGAAGACCACACAGGGTGCCACTCCTGTAAGCTAAGAACAGAAAACTGACACTGCAATTCACAAGAGCTCACCAAAATTAGAAGATTGGAAAAACATTGCCTGGTCTGATGAGTCTCAATTTCTGCTGCAACATTCAAATGGTAGGGTCAGAATTTGGCGTCACCAACATGAAAGCATGGATTCATCCTGCCTTATATCAATACTTCAGACTGGTGCTGGTGGTGTAATGGTGTCGGGGATATTTTCTTGGCAAACTTTGGGCCCATTAGTACCAATTGAGCATTGTGTCAACGCCACAGCCTACCTGAGTTGTTGCTGACCATGTCCATCCCTTTATGACCACAGTGTATCCATCTTCTGATGGCTACTTCCAGCAGGATAATGCTCCATGTCATAAAGCACGAATCATCTCAGACTGGTTTCTTGAACATGACAATGAGTTTACTGTACTGAAATCGCCTCCACAGTCACCAGAACTCAATCCAATAGAGCACCTTTGGGATGTGGTGGGACAGGAGATTTTCATCTTGTATCGTAAATGTTTACGATTGTTTTTTTATAGATATTACACAAAATTATGCACAAAAAATACCATCAACAGACATAGCACACAGTGTTTGTACTTTGTCATTTTAAAGATTATCAGAAGAATAAAAACATTTGTTGTAATATTTTATACATATTTCAGATTTTGGGGTGACGCAGTGGTGCAGTAGGTAGTGCTGTCGCCTCACAGCAAGAAGGTCGCTGGTTCAAGCCTCGGCTGGGTCAGTTGGCGTTTATGTGTGGAGTTTGCATGTTCTCCCTGCGTTTGCGTGGGTTTCCTCCACAAGTCCAAAGACATGCAGTACAGATGAATTGGGTAGGCCAAATTGTCCGTAGTGTATGAGTGTAAAAATGTTTCCCAGAGATGGGTTGCAGCTGAGAGGGCATCCACTGCGTAAAACATTTGCTGGATAAGTTGGCGGTTCACACCGCTGTGGCGACCCCAGATTAATAAAGGTACTAAACAGAAAAGAAAATGAATAAATCTCAGCTTTTTTATTTTATTATTATTATTATTATTTTGCTAATAAACATGTGAACACAATATGCCAACACTACATTACAAATAGAGGAAAACAGCCAGGGGAATAAAAACTAATTCAAATGAAGACAAAACATGTTGTGATGCTACAGTTTACTTTTCAATTAGCAATTTACAGCTAACATGAGAGGTCCTGTGTTTTACGACGATTTTTAAGCGTGTTACGGTACCGAGCGTGACGTCACCGCGCGATTGTCTGGTCAACAACTCAGCTGCTGTGGGGCGACCGCGGGAAAAGATTCCACGTAACACATCGGCCGGTTCCAGGGAGGGACTCCGGGACTCTCTTTTTCGGCATCACCGTGGCTGTGTTTTCGGGGAACATAACGGGAACACGTCTCCGAAAACACGCCGAGACTCGTCTGTCCGGAATAAAGCGGAGGAGGTTTTTCTAAATCTAGGACAGAAGGGGGAAAATGGAGCTGGATGACGGAGTTGTGTACCAGGACGACCCGGGGACATCGGCGGTGATGTCGGAGCGGATCTCGGGCCTGGCCAACTCCATCTACCGCGAGTTCGAGAGACTCATCCGCAAATACGACGAGGACGTGGTGAAGGAGCTGATGCCGCTGGTGGTGGCGGTGCTGGAGAACCTGGACACGGTGTTCGCCGAAAACCAGGAGCACGAAGTGGAGCTCGAGCTGCTGAAGGAGGACAACGAGCAGCTCGTCACTCAGTACGAGCGCGAGAAAGCGCTGAGGAAACACACGGAGGAGGTGAGCTTTAAGATTTATCATCTTCATCATCAGGGGCAGAGCTGCTTTGTTTTGTTGCAGCAGACATGATCGTATGATGCACGTGCGTGAATGGCTTTGTCATCATCATCACCATCATCATCATCATCATCATCATGCCTGCCCTTTGATGATCAATCGGGCCCTGGGTAGATATAAATGCATTTAAGCATCCTCAGTGCGGCAGGCAGTCTTATGTCTTTCGATGATGTTTGTTTGCCCCTTGTCAAATGCTTCAACTTGCTTGCATTTAAAGGCTGCAGATTGTAAACAAGCACAAATACAGCAAGCCTGTTTCTTGTTTCAGCATGTAAACTACATGAGAGTCATGTGGGACAGTAAGTTGTCACAGTGGCTAACTGTAAGGTTTTATATAGAGGTAAAGTTGGCTTTATATTCGGATATTCAGACATTCTCCTTAATAATATAATTTCAGAAAAGTATTCTTCGCAAATTCTAAATAGGAAAATCATATCATCAGCCAATGATTATCAAAGTACGGTATGGTTTTGTTTACAGTCAATTTCGAGAGTTCACACTTACCGTAGCTGATGATTGATTATAAGCAAGTTTGGCATGCTGACCCAGGAGAGAGCCCTGGGCTTCCTCCCGTTTGTAGGGCAAGAGGGGAGCTTTGAGCTCAGAACTGTAGGATATGCATCTGTGGAAAAAAAAATCTTTTTAATAAATGTATGTATGATTACATTTTTTTAAACAAGAACAAAATGGAAAATAAAACAAATAATAATGCAAATAAATAACAGTACAAAATTGTAATTCAGAAACAAAGACCAAAGTTCAACCCACATATTGTACAATAAACAATATATGTAGTAGGTAAAAATTCAGGCAAGTAAAGAGTGGCAGCATGATGCATATAGTAATAAAGGTATAAATAGTGAAAAAAGGATAAAATTATTTGGTTGGAGGGGGGGTTAATTAATAATTATTAATTAAAAAAAATTAAATAAAAATGATCTGGGTAGATTAAAAAATCTGACATGAAATTTTACTTCATTAAACGGAGCATTTGATGAAACAGTCTCCTGATATGCATGATTATTAAGCAGTTTTTCATTTGAATCGCTGTGTAGTATTAATTTTCGCTGTGTCGCTGGTTTTGAATGACATATTCAACCTTTCTTTGTTGGTAACGTGCATGAGTTAATTGTTTAACGCGACTTTAATCTGTTTTAGAAATAAGATTACAGTGTATTGTACAGTTCTGGCCGTGTGTAAGCCTGAGTTTGGACAGATTAATGCTGCTCAGTGGCTTTGTGTGTGGCTGATATACAGTGACGGATGCTTAACTGGGATTATGAGCAATATGCCTGAAACATTCAACTATCAAAACATAAGTGAGCATTGAGCTGCATTAATCTCTCTATTTGTGTGTGTGTGTGTGTGTGTGTGTGTGTGTGTGTGTGTGTGTGTGTGTGTGTGTGTGTGTGTGTGTGTGTGTGTGTGTGTGTGTGTGATCTGCTGTCATCTCATTCTGACAGACTGTGTGTGACAGACTTCTGCGGTCATTATTCACTGCTCAACATTGATCTACTACTCACATTTCAGATCATTGATAAACTAGAGAAACTTTTAAGATGGTTTAAGGTGACTGTTTCAGACCTGATGCGTTAAACTTTTATGCTGTGTTAAATAATATATTGAAAATTAATTACTGCCTTATTGTATTTTAGAATTTTATTTTTTATATTATAAAAATAGCATAGCTTTTATTAATATGGTGAAGTTAGTTTTATAATTTCTTTATTCTTTTTTTGTCGTCAGTTTTGTCATTTGCATTTTTTAAAATATTCTATTAAGTGTTTTCAGGTTTTAGAT